CCTCTCTGCTCTCCTTAGGAAGGAGCCGAGCTCTGTACACCGACGCTCGTCCGGGCCCCGCATTGGAACGCGCACAGGAAAAAGCGGATCCTGGTGTGTACGGGATCCTGGTGCATACGTTTCTCGCCGCTCCCCCGGGAACACGGGGAAACGAGTATACGCCACACCATCCCGACGTCATCCCCGGCCCTCCAAAAGAGTCCTGGGGTTGAAGAACAGCCCGCCACTGGTAATGTGTATGCTCCAGTCTCCGATGCAGTGGGCAGGCGGCCAGCGGCGGCGGCGGCGGCGACGACGCTGGCGATACGGACGGCGGCAGCGGCGATGACGGCGGCAGCAGGGGAGCGAGAAACGGCAACGGCAGAAGCATAAAAACTCGGAGGTCCGCGCGGATGTCTTGGATCCGTGCGGTACCCCCCCCTCCCTGGCGCGCGGAGCGCACCAGGGGGGCCCCAGCGGCGATCTGCGAAACCCGCGCGGACCTCAGGGTGTTTACAGTATGTTTCTGTCATTACTCGCTCCCCTGGGCAATGGGCGACCTCCCAGGCGGGGAACGGGAAATTGTACATGCCGCCGCTGCTGACCACGGCGATCCTCGACCCCGGCGTGGCCTCGAGGGTGGGCATGGCCAGCTCTCCTCGACGGCGTGCACATCAGAGTGACAACAACAACAACAACAACAACAACAACAACAACAACAACAGCAGCAGCAGCAGCAGCAGCAACAGCAACAGCAACAGCCACAACCACAACCACAACCACAACCACAACCACAACCACAACCACAACCACAACATCAATAATAACAATAAGAAGAACAACCACAACAACAACAACAACAACAACAACAACAACAGCAGCAGCAACAACACCAACAACTACTACTAGTATTACTACTAGTATTACTACTACTACTACTACTACTACTACTACTACTACTACTACTACTACTACTACTACTACTACTACTACTACTACTACTACTACTACTACTACTACTACTACTACTACTACTACTACTACTACTACTACTACTACTACTACTACTACTACTACTACTACTACTACTACTACTACTACTACTACTACTACTACTACTACTACTACTACTACTACTACTACTACAATAATCTTCGGACTGATCGCTCTTCCCTGCTCGCGTGCCACTCAACACGTATATCCACAACCCTCGATACCCGCCATCGTCGTTTTCGTTCGTACCCCAGTGTGTATCTTTCTTACCTGCAACGTGTGTATTGCGTGCAGCCCCTAAGGCAGAGAAAATGATCGAACCACGAACCCGGAAAGGAATCTAGAAATGTGAAGCATGGCAACCTTTCAAAAACACCTGATTGGGCGACAGGCAAATGCAAAGCTGAATGCATCGATCTTGATGTACCGTGCCGAAGGCTGCGCTGTGCTGTGCCGTGCTGAATTGCGATGTGCCATGCCGCGATTGTGCTCTATAGCGTTGTGGATCGAGTCCTCCTTTGCATCCGAGTACTGACCGAACTGATATGGACCTTAAGCTCGAGCTGCCTGAGCACATAGTAGCTGCCCCACAGCTAATTGATGGGGGGGCATGCCAAGAGGACGCGCCGCAGAACGTCCCAAAGGACACGCCAGGCGACGTGCCAAGGGACGTGCCATGGGGACGCACCGCGGGACGTGCCAAGGGGACGCGTACGGAACGTGCCAATGGACGTGCCACGGGACGTGCCAGGTGACGCGCCGCGCGACGTGCCAGGAGGACTCGCCACGGGATGCGCCACGGAACGTGCCAAGGAACGTGCCAGGTTGCAATGCTGCGTGTACCGATCTTGATGTACCGTGTCGAGGGCTGTGCTGTGCTGCGCAATGCTCACTGCGATGTGCCATGCCGCGATTGTGCTCTATAGCGTTGTGGATCAAGTCCTCCTTTGCATCCGAGACATGACCGAACTGGTCTGGATCTTAAGCTCGAGCTGCCTGAGCACATTACAGCTGCCTCAGAGCTAGTCGACAGCGGGACATGCCAAGAGGACGCGCCGCCGAACGTCCCGAAGGACGCGCCAGGCGACGTGCCAAGAAACGTGCCGTGGGGACGCACCGTGGGACGTGCCAAGGGGACGCGCTACGGAACGTGCCAATGGACGTGCCACGGGACGTGCCAGGGGACGCGCCGCGCGACGTGCCAAAGGGACTCGCCACGGGACGCGCCACGGAACGTGCCAGGGAATGTGCCAAATTGCAATGCTGAATGTATCGATCTTGATGTACCGTGCCGAAGGCTGTGCTGGGGCCTCCTGGGCCTCCTGGGGCGTTAGGAACCATGTGTGTTTGCTTTTCTCCCGCCCTGGGGCGTTAGGAACCATGTGTCTTCACGCTTGTCCCGCCCGGGGGCGTTAGGAACCCATATGTGTTCACGCCTCTCCCAACCTGGGGCGTTAGGAACCCATATGGTGTCACATTGTCCCGCCCTGGGGCGTGAGGAACCCATGTGTTTTCATGCTTCTCCCGCCCTGGGGCGTTAGGAAATCATGTGTTGTCACGCTTGTCACGCCATGGGGCGTTAGGAACCATATGTGGTCACGCTTCTCGGGCATCCTGGAGCGTCCTCGGGTGAGGGGGGAAGCGAAAAACGCTCTCCGAATACAGATCTCAACACAGAACATATGCAAAGCAAGCATTTGACCTGAGACATCCTCTGAATTCTGGTCCTCAGGAGAGGAACAATATATAACACAAAACAAGCGTGTCGCTCGAATCATCGTCAACAAATTATGACATACAAGTGTTTCGCTCGGGACATCCTCCAAATCATGTTAGATTCCCCCCCCTGTGTGGCCTGGGCACGTGAAAACACGTAACTCCAGCTCGGGAACACCATGTTAGATATCCCCATGGGTGGCCTGGACACGTGAAAACAGGCGGCTCCAGCTCGGGACCACCATGTCAGATACCCCTGGGCGACCTTGACACACGAAACCACGCGGTTCCAGCTCGGGACCACCATGTCAGATACCCCCGTGGGTGGCCTGGACACCTAAAAATACAGTACGGCAGGTTGGCCGTGGACCTTCTCGGGACCCTGCTGGGGCCTCGGTTGGGGCTGCAGGGGGGGGGGCCCAGGATGCGAGGCGGGGATGTATTCACATCCACCACCTGGGAACCGACGTCCTGGTGCCCCGGCGGGCGGTGGCTACGGATATGTTTCGGCCCCCCGGCGGCCCGAAGATGTCCACATCCACCGCCTGCCTGAGGCTCCGAAAACTGACCCTCCAGGCGGTGGTCATGTATAATTTCCGGCTAGAGAGCGGGATGCCTGAGCGTCGAGGGCGCAGCGCCGCAAATCAGATGCAAGGAAATGTACAACGCTAGAGAGCGCGCACGCTGCGAGGAGGTGCCGCGCGAGAGCGCGATGTTGGAATACATCGCGAGGAGGTATCAGGCGGAGGCTGTTGTAGTTGTAGTTCGCAGGGCAGGGTCCCAATCTGAGAGGCTCGAGAGAGAGAGGAGGAGGAGGAGGAGGAGGAGGAGGAGGGAGGAGAGGAGGAGGAGGAGGAGAGGAGGAGGAGTAGGGAGGAGGGGGAGGAGGAGGAGGAGGAGGAGGAGGAAGGGAGGAGGAAGGAGGAGGAGGAGAGGAGGGAGCTCCACAGAGGCCCGGCAGCCCGTCGCGGACCGAGGCCTTCTCCGCGACAGGCTGCTGGGCCCTTCGGGCCCCTCCTGGGGGGGCTTCGCGGGCGTGGGGATGGGCCCAAGGGGGCCTCAGGAGGGCCTCCCCTCCTCCTCCTCCTCCTCCTCCTCCTCCTCCTCCTCCTCCTCCTCCTCCTCTCCTCCTGCTCCTCCTCTCCTCCTCCTCCTCCTCCTCCTCCTCCTCCTCCTCCTCCTCCTCCTCCTCCTCCTCCTCCTCCTCAGGGCTCCAGGAGTTGGAGGCCTGGAAATGGGCACCAACACCAACACAGGGGGCTGCCTCCACGGGGAGGATGATCCTAGATTTCGGTGTTGGTGGTAAGATGTCGGTCACCTTGGAAGCCAGAATCTGACCACCATCACCGAGATCGGGATCTTCTTCCCTCGGTGGAAGCGCACCGCCGATATTGGTGTTGGTGTCAACATCTAGGCCTGCGGAAGAGGGCCAGGCAACCTGTCACGGACAAGGGCCGTGTCAGCTGGGGATGGACTCTCGCGCCCTCCAGCATGTGCCTGCCGATTCTTCCACGGGGCGCCAGAAATAAAAAACTGAAAACGGGGGGGAAACATGGCATGCTGAGCTTTGCAGGAGGGTCGTTTTGGTCCGCGGGCGCCATCTTCTTGAGCCGCTTCGGCTCAGCTCAACCACGTTCGATCGGCACGTTGGCCGAGCGCCGCTGGCTATCGCTGAGCGTCCTGTCCGTGTTCCGGCCGTGCACTCGCAATCCGTCGCAAGATCTCCGCGGAATCGTGTGCATTCAGCGACGCCGCTCCCTCGCCCAATCGAATCTTGCCCGGACAATGGCGGCGACTCCACCGAAGTCTGCAAGTGTCAAGCTGCGCCATGCCCATCCCCACGTGCGCGGCCTGGGCCCAACGGGCTGACGCACCCCCCCGAATGGAGGCATAGGCTGCTCCCGTCGAGATTCGAGGGGCATGTCCCCAGCTGGGACGGTGGGATGGTGGGGATCCGGGTGTGGTTAAGTCGGGCGTGTCCCCTTACAGGGGGATGTTCGACGAAAAATAAAAATACCCAAAAAATGCCCCCAAACGGTCAAAAAAATACTAAAAATTAGTCCCCTGACTATTGTTTGACCATTTCTGAATGTCCCCAAGCCCGACTTAAGGATAGGGGATGGAGACTGGGATTGGGACCGGTGCGGCGCTACCGAGGAGAGTGACCGTCCCAGCAGGCCAGGGGGGGGGCTCTGGGGGGGAGGGACCGGCGCCCTCCGACCAGGCTCCTCGGAAGCCCGCGGGGGGGGGGGCTTTTCTCAGGAGCCCCAGCCGCCCTCTCGGAAGGCCACGCGCCCCCCAAGCAAGCCCCCCCCCCTCCGCGAGGGGCAACGATAGGCGGGGGGGGGGAACCGCCTCAGGGGGGCGAGCACCAATCTGGAATCGGCATCGCCGACAGAACGGCGACGGGCCCGGCGAGTCCGCACGTTCCTGGGCGAGGTGGGGCTACCAGACCCCCGTCTGGGCGGTAGATGAGCGATCGGGGGGCGATGCACCTCCTCCTCCTCTTCCTCCTCCTCCTCCTCCTCCTCCTCCTCCTCCTCCTCCTCCTCCTCCTCCTCCTCCTCCTCCTCCTCCTCCTCCCTCCTCCTCCCTCCTCCTCCTCCTCCTCCTCCTCCTCTCCTCCCTCCTCCTCCTCCTCCTCCTCCCCCCGAGCCCCCCCCCCCCCTCCCCCCCTGTCGTTGCCCGCGGCGCGAGCGGCGCGCCGCGCCGGCTCTCCGAGAAGGTACGTGCCGAAGAGCAGGTGCGACGCAAAGGTCACCTTGGGCGGCGCGCTCCAAGGGGGGGGCAGGGGGAGAAAAAAGCACACAACACACTGTGGGAAAAACACACGGTGCATTTTTCCCACAGTGTGTTTTCTGTTCCCACACACACTGTGTGTTTTTCCCACAGTGAGTGTTTTTGATTCCCACAGACTGTGTGTTTTGTGTGTTATTATCCCGAAGAGCAGATGCGACGCAAAGGTCACCTTGGGCGGCGCGCTCCAAGGAGGGGTATGGGGGAGGGGGGAAGGCCCCTTCGAAGGAAAGAGAAGCAGAAGGAGGAGGCGAAGGGGAGGAGGCAGAGGAGGAGGGGAAGTGGAGGGAGGAGAAGGAGGAGAAGAGGCAAGGAAGGAGGAGGAGCAGGAGGAGAAGGAGGAGAGAAGCGAGGAGACGTCCCGATACTGTAGGCGAATCCAGGCTGCTTCTTCGAGGGCGTGGGCCTCATCTGCAGCTGCAGGGCCCGCGCCTGCTCAGAGGCGGCCCCCCTCCAGGAAGCCTTCCCCCCCCCTCCCCCTGCCCTCCAGAGGCTGGCTCACGGGAGGCAAAAACCGCCGGCGGCGAAGTCCGAACCCTAACCCTCGCCGATCAACGAGGGGGCATCTTTGGTGGGCGGCGGGGATAGGAACCAGACTCCGTCGAACACGCGGCGAAACCCGAACCCTGCCCTCGCCGATCAGCGATGGGGCATCTTTGATGGGCGGCGGGGATGGGGATCGGAAGCCGCCGAACACGCGGGCGAAGCCCGAGCCCGGCCCCGCCCCCCACGATGCGGGAGGATCGATGGTCGGCGGGGCTGGGGCGCGACGGCGCCACGTACGGCCAGGCCTGGGACAGAGGAGCATCCCTCGAGAGGGCACGGGGCCCCCCGCCGGCCAAACCGAAGAGCACGCAGGGGATGCGAGGGCATCCCCCTCCCCCAGGAGGCACAATGACACCCAACAGACACGACTTAACATTATCGGCGGCGAGCGAGGGGGGGGAAGTGAGAAGCAGAAGGGCCTCTCGAAGAAGCAGCGGGGCTTCCCAGAAGGCCCCTGGCCTTGTGAGAAGACTTCTGCGCCTTGGGGGAAGGCTTGGAAAGCTTCTCGGAAGGCCAGGGGACTTCCGAGCCGTCTGAGAAGGCCCGCCCCTTCTCACTTCCCCCCAGGCTCGCCGCGGACACTAGGGTGCCCTTCCCGAACCGACCTCGATCTTACGTACACCCTGGTCCGACTGCAACCCTCCACGTCCGCCACCTCCTCCTCCTCCTCCTCCTCCTCCTCCTCCTCCTCCTCCTCCTCCTCCTCCTCCTCCTCCTCCTCCTCCTCCTCCTCCCCTCCTCCTCCTTCCTCCTCCTCCCCTCCTCCTCTCCTCCTATCCTCCTCCTCCTCCTCCTCCTCCTCCTCCTCCTCCTCCTCCTCCTCCTCCTCCTCCTCCTCCTCCTCCTCCTCCTCCTCCTCCTCCTGCTCCTCCTGCTCCTCCTCCGCCTCCTCCGCCTCCTCCTCCTCCTCTTCCTCCGGATTCTGCGCGTGGCTGGCACCTCCACGCCCTCGGAGGTGAGCGTCTTCTCGTTCAGCAGGGCGCCGGCGTTGCCTCGGCGCGCCGAGCCGCGCCGCCCCCGCCCCGCGCAGCGCCCGCCCTCGCCCGCCGCTCGGAGCAGCTCGCGCGCGCGGCCGGCGCGCGCAGCGAGAGCGCAGTGAGTGGTGCGAGGCGGGGATTGACCCACCCACGAAGGGAGACAGCGGGGCCACGAAGGGCAGCGAGGGGGCCACGAAGGGCGACAGCGGGGCGACGAAACGCATGCGTATGGGACCACGAAGGGCGCGAGCGAGCGGGGGCCACGAAGGGCAACTAGTCCGAGGCCACAGAGGGCAGCGACGGGGCCGCTGAGGGCAGAAACGGGGCCACGAAGGGCAGAGAGGGGGCCACGAAGGGCGACAGCGGGGCCACGAAGGGCATGCATATGGGGCCACGACGGGCGCGAACGAGCGGGGGCAACAACAACAGAGGAAGCACCAACCGTTCGCTCAGGCGAAGCGTGTAGAGACGGCGAGATGCCGGCGCGGCGGGCGTGAACAGAAAACAGCACGTGCGGCACCCTCTCGTGTACGACAGGTTGGCCGTGGACCTTCTCGGGACCCTGCTGAGGCCTCGGTTGGGGCTGCAGGGGGGGGCCCGTGGTGCGAGGCGGGGATTTATCCACATCCACCGCCTGGGAACCGACGTCCTGGTGCCCCAGCGGGCGGTGGCTATGGATATGTTTCGGCCCCCCGGGGGCCCAAAGATGTCCACATCCACCGCCTGCCTCCAGGCGGTGGTCATGTATAAATTCCCGCCTCGGATGTGGGACGCACAGGGACATACCAGGGCGAGAGCGCGATGCCTGAGCGTCGAGGGCGCGGCGCCGCAAATCAGTTGCAAGGAAGTATACAACGCTAGAGAGGGCGCACGTTGCGAGGAGGTGCCGCGCGAGAGCGCGATGTTGGAATAAATCGCGAGGAAGTATCAGGCGGGGGCTGTCTTAGTTGTAGGTCGGAGGGCAGGCCCCCAATCTGAGGAGGCTGTAACATAGATCGACCCACGAACCCGCAAAGGAATACAGAAATGTGAGACATGGCAACGTTTTCAAGACACATGATTGGGCGAATGCAATGCTGAATGTATCGATCTTGACGTACTGTGCCAAGGGCTGTGCTGTGCTGTGCCGTGTTGTATTGCTATATGTAATGCCGCGATTGTGCTCTATAGCGTTGTGGATCGAGTCCTCCTTAGCATCCGAGTTCTGACCGAACTGATATGGATCTTCAACTCGAGCTGCCTGAGCACATGGTTGCTGCCCCAGAGCTAGTTGACGTGGAAACGTGGAGGACGTTCAATCGACTCGATCTCAAAATCCGACTCAGCTCCGAAAAAGAACAACACGACACGGGGCACAGGCACACGGACGCGCCACAGGATGTGCCAGGGGCACAATAGGGGATGCGCCAGGGGACGTGTCAGGGGACCTATCAGGGGACGTGCCCTGGACGTGTCAGGGACCTGCCACAGCGTGCCATGGGGCGGCCAGAGGACGTCATGCCCAGGAACGTTGCAAGGGGTGCGTCACGGAACGGGCAGGGGAAACGCCTGGGGTCGAGCCAAGAAACGCGACAGAGGATAAGCCAGGGAACGTGACACGCCGAGTGGCGTGCTAGGGGACGTGCCAGGGCACGTCACGCCAGGACGTCGCAAGGGACGCGCCAAGGGACGCGCCAGCGCGCCAGAGGACGCCCCACAGACGGGCGGGGTTGGACTGCGACGCACTCTACTGCGACAAGCATTTCGCTCGAGACATCCTCAACACATCCTCATGTTAGACATCCGCCTGGGCGACCTGGACACGTGAAAACAAGCGACTCGCTCGAGACATCCTCAACCAATCCTCATGTTAGACATTCGCCTGGGTGACCTGGACACGTCGCTCGTACCAATTGGGTGACCTGGACACGTGAAAACACGCGCCTCGCTCGAGACGTTCTCAACACCTCCTCATGCTCGACATCTGTCTGGGCAGCCTAGACGCGTGAAAGCAAGCGTTTCGCTTGAGGCATCCTGCCCAAATCCTCATGTTAGACATCCGCCTGGGCGACCTGGACGCGTGAGAACAGGCAGTTCGCTCGAGAGATCCTCAACACATCTTCATGTTAGACATCCGCCTGGGCGACCTGGACACGTGAAAACAAGCGTCTCGCTCGAGACATCCTCAACACATCCTCATGCTAGACGTGCCTGGGCAACCTGGACGCGTGAAACCGAGCGTCTCGCTCGAGACATGAAAACAAGCATTTCGCCTGAGAGATCCTCTGAAGCCTCGTCCCCAGGAGAGGGATAATCAAGAACACGAAACAAGCGTTACGCTCGAGACATCCTCAAAACACATGTTGCAGAACAAATGTTTCGCTTGAGACATCCGAAACAAACGAAAATATGTCCCGCACCCTGTGATTTATCGATCGGGATTTCAGAAAACAAGCATTTCGCCAGGGACATCCTCAACTTTGAATTCGCCATCCCTACGCGACCACGTTAGTCATCGCAGATTAAATTCGCCAGCCCTGCGCAAGTCGAGGCCAGGGGAAACCATCTAAAAGAGAACCCTGGGCCGGCGCCCTTCCCGGGAAAAAACAGGGTGCAGCGCCACCCAAGCACGATAGTACTATGTGTCCTCCTCGGAGGCGCGCGCCCGACCCGAACACATACAGTACGACCATATTGTGATAGATCGTTTCCCGAGCGGTACGGCCAGAAATCTTATAGTATATGCGTCGTGGCGGGCGCTGTCAAAGCGCCCGCCACGATGCATATACTATAAGACTTCTCGGCGCGCGCGTCACCCCCTCCGGGGGTGACGCACACATCGCATAATCATGCTTGGGTGGCGCCGACCGAGCCTGGTGCAGGCTGATGTAAGCTCGAAGCCAGGACGAGGAGAGCGATTTGGGCGAGGATACATCGGGACCCCCTGAGATCTGGCGGCCCTGGAGGATGTCTCGGGCGCCGCGGCCTTCTCGGAGCGCTCCGGAGCGCTCCGAGAGCGTTCCTGAACGCTCTAGAGCGGACGTTTCCTCGTCCTGGCCCCGCCCGATGGTAGCTGCCGATCGCGCGAGGCAAGACCGGCGCAGGGCAGCCGTCCAGGAGCAACGCCGGCAACGCCGCGGCTGCGCTGGGTACAGAGCGCAGACGGCATGTGCTGACTCTTGGCTGGGAGAGCAGCGAGGCAGTGAGCTAAGTACCGCGGGCTCGTGACGTGTCGACCCCGGCAGTGGCTCCTGACACAGCGGGAATCGTTCAACCTGAAACGATCGGCTGCGTCCTCCTCCTCCTCCTCCTCCTCCTCCTCCTCCTCCTCCGAAACGTCAGATCGTTCAACATCAACCGATTCTGGGTCGCTGGCGGCGCTCCATGTTGTACGGCGACGGCGGGGTCGCCGACGGTTGACGCGACGCGAACCTGCCGTATGGGGCTTTCCCGCCCCCGCTCGTCTCTGCCCTGGAGGCCTGGAACCCGCCGAACGAGTAGGGAGGTCCACACAAGGGCATCGACCCGCCCCTCACTGAGGGAGCTTTGAAAGAACACATAAAGTTGACGACGATATGGAACCAAGGGCGCCCTCCTTCGAGCCACCAGGACATGAAAATGAAGTCGTCCCCGAGCCAGTGTGGGTTGCATCTCCCTCGTATCCTCCGAAGGGCTTCCTGGTGAGTCCAAAGTGGTTCCCAGCCGCGCACTGGGAGCTTCAGGGACCTCAGGGTGACTGCACGGGCAGGAAGACCAGGCCAACATTGCACAGCGCAGCGACTCTACTCTCGCCCTCGCCACTAGGTCACACCAGGACGTGCAAGTTCAGTCCCAGGTGACTTCCCCTGATGATAAAGAAGCAGGGTGCGAGCGCGAGGGGGGGAAGACCTCAATTGAAATCGCACAGTGGGCGCTGGTCGGCTACACGCAAGAGTGACAGGCAAGAGCGACCTTTGGTGCGCGATTTCGGGGGCCACTAGGAGGACGAACCCGAGTGCGCAAACCACTGCTATCGCATTGCGCTCGACGATCGGGAAACCCCAGTGGGCCCGCACCAAGGGTCACTCGTGCGACTGGCCACTCTTGCGCATCGCCGAACCGGCGGGGAGGGGAGGGTCAGAACTGAGACTCCAACCGCAGAAGTTGAAAACACAGACACTTGGCGGGACGAGGGGGGAAGTGAGAAAAGGCGGGCCTTAATCATCAGAAGGCTCGGAAGTCCTCTGGCCTTCTGAGAAGCTTTCCACCTGCCATCGCTCGGACGTCCATTCCCTGTGTTTTTTTGGTTTCGTGCGTGGTTTTTCCCCAAATGATCAAGGATGCTCCTCGATGGTCCTCGACGAAAGAAAAATGCAAACGTCCGAGCGATGCCAAGTTCCAAGCCTTCCCCGAAGACACAGAAAACTTCTCCGAAGGCCACAGGGCGTCTGCGAAGCCCCGCCGCCTTCCCGAGAGGGCCTTCTCCTCTCCCCCCTCGCCCGCCGCCGAAAGACGGCGTCAAAGGCCCCTCGAAGGCCTGGGCTGGCGGCGGGCCGCGGGCCGCTGAGCGCCCAGCAAACGAGCCCGTCCAGGCGGCCCTCCCCGGCCGCGGAGAACTCCAGCCAGCACCGCCGGACGTCAGCCTTCTCTTAAGTCGGGCCTGCCCCTCTACAGGAGGACAACTCAAAACCAGTCCGAAAAAACGGTCGGGGGACGATGTTTGGAGCGTTTTTTTTTTCGACTATTGTGGAATACGTCCTGTGTACTTTGAAGTCTTCGTCCAGACTCCCCCTGTGGGGGGACACGCCCGACCTAAGCCGTCTCCCGGGCTGTCGCCAGGCTCCGCCGGCTTTGGCTCCGCCGGCTTCGGAACGCCACGGCGCAGCGGTCTTCGCGCTCCGCGCTCCGAGGAGGCGCGAGGCGCAGGTACCTTCGCGCGTTCGCGAGGCCCACCCCCCCCGCCCCCAGAACAGGATGAGGGACGCGCCCCTTGGGACGCACAGAGACATACTAATACTATATGTCCTCCTTGGAGGCGCGCGTCCGACCCAAACATATAGTATACCCATCTTGTAGTAGATCGTTTCCCGAGCGGTGTGGCCAGAAAGCGCACGCCACGACGCATATACTATAAGATTTCTCGGTGCGCGCATCGCCCCTGGGGGGGCAAGACCGCGAAGCGCGAAGCGCGAAGCGCGACGAACTTCGCACCCTCGTGAATGCCCCAGAGAAAGCAGCTCACGGAAGCTGTCGGTCGTCCCGACGGCGCCTCAACGGCGCGCCACGGTCTCTCGCTGAGCGGACGTGGCTCCTTTCCCTCACTTGGCGCTTTTGGGCGCTGCTGGTCGCTGGCGGGCACGATCCGAACGCTTCTCGGCGCCTCTGGGCGCCGGTGGGCGCCATGGGGCGCTGCTCGCCGATGATACCCTCGATGCAAGGCGAGCAGGAGCTTCTGTGATTTACTATCTGACCGACTCCCTCCCTCCTGTCGGCCGCACGCAAGCGAGACGATAGGCCGCTGCGCCTGCTGGTGCGCGGTTTGCCGACCGTGGCAGAGCGACGCGACGGCAGCGGCCTGCGTGCTTGGGTTTGGTCCTGCCGCGTCCCCTGAAAGCCGCGCACCAAAGGTAGGGGTCGTTCCTCAGGGTAGCCGATCCTCCTCCTCCTCCTCCTCTTCTCCTCCTCCTCGTCCTCCTCCTCCTCCTCGTCCTCCTCCTCCTCCTCCTCGTCCTCCTCCTCCTCCCTTTCCTCCTCTTCCTCCTCATCCTCCTCCTCTTATTATTATTAGTGTTGTCATGTTTGGTATGTGTCTTCATGTTCCGCTTATCCGTATTCTTAATACTAGTATTAGTATTCGTTGTCTTGTCGTTAATAGTAGTATGATCATGATTCTTACGAGTAACATTCGTATTGATATGTATCGTATTGTTAGTAGTATGTTTAAGATTGCTACTAAGTTTGGAACTCGTATGATTAGTGTACTTAGTAATATTAGCACTCGAAGTATTATTCGTTTTATGTTTAGTGTTCCTAATGCGCCTCCGACTCCTCCTCTTCCTTCTCATCCTCCGCCTCCTCCTCCTCATCATCTTCCTCCTCCTCCACCTCCTCCTCCTCCTCCAATTATTACGTTTTGTGCTATCAGTGTTCATACCCGCTTAGTATTAATGGAAATATAACGTTTCTTGTTAGCCGTATCATCCTTACTCCGATTCAGATCAGTATCCTGAATGTTCTTAGTAGTAATAACAATGTGTACCGAAGTTGTAGTAGTACTAGTAGTAGTAGTAGTAGTAGTAGTAGTAGCAGCAGGGGCATGTGTGTTATTAGTGTTATTCATACTGTTGATAGTGTTCCTCTTCTTCTTACGATTATGACAGGTCTGATTCTTTGCATGGTTGTTATTGATAATATGAATCGGAGGCTGGGGGGGTGAGATCGCAATGAAACGGAGACCCCCAACCGGGAAATCTGTTCGTTTCGTTCGTGTCGTACGTGCGGGCGAAGCGAAGCTGCGTGGGTGCGCGAGATGAAAGAACGAAGTCAAGACAAATGATTAACCTCCTCCCGCCCGTCCTGCGGTGGCTCGCGGTGTCCCGCGGTGTCCCGTGGTGTCCAGTGGTTTCCGCCGTTGCCAGGGCGAAGTCAAGACACATGATTCTCCCCCGCCCGCCCGTCCGGCAGTGGCTCGCGGTGTCCCGCGGTGTCCCGTGGTGTCCTGTGGTGTCCCGTTGTGTCCGCCACTGCTAGGGCGAAGTCAAGACAAATGATTCTCCCCCGCCCGCCCGTCCGTCCGTCCGTCCAGCGGTGGCTCGCGGTGTCCCGCGGTGTCCCGTGGTATCCCATGGTGTCCCGTTAAGTGAGATCGATAGCGAGATCGATAGTGAGATCAATAATGAGATCGATAGTGAGACCGATAGTGAGATCGATACTGAGAACGATGTGGTGCCTCGAGGTGTCCCGTCGTGTCCCGCGGTGTCCCGAAAGGTGAGATCGATAGTGAGACCGATAGTGAGATCGACAGGTGTCCCGTGGTGTCCCGTGGTGTCCCGTGGTGTCCCGTTAACTGAGATCAATGGTGAGACCGAAAGAGAGGTCGACACTGAGATCGATGTGGTGTCCCAAGGTGTTCGTTGGTGTCCCGTGATGTCCCAAACATGATCGACCCACGAACCCGGAAAGGAATATAGAAATGTAAAGCATGGCGGCGTTTCAAAGACACCTGATTGGGAGACGGGCAAATGCAATGCTGAGTGTATCGATCTTGATGCACCGTGCCGAGGGCTGTGCTGTGCGCCATGCCGCGATTATGCTCTATAGCGTTCTGGATCGAGTCCTCCTTTGCATCCGAGTCCTGACCGAACTGATCTGGATCTTAAGCTCGAGCTGCCTCAGCACATAATAGCTGCCCCAGAGCTAATTGACAGGGGGACATGCTAATTAGGAAGACGCGCCGCAGAACGTACCAAGGGACGCGCCAGGCGACGTGCCAGGGGACGTGCCATGGGGACGCACCGCGTGACGTGCCAAAAGGACGCGCTACGGAACGTGCAGTGGACGTGCCACGGGACGTGCCAGGGGACGCGCCGCGCGACGTGCCAGGGGGACTCGCCACGGGACGCGCCACGGAACGTGCCAAGGAACGTGCCAAGCTGCAATTCTGAATGTATCGATCTTGATGTACCGTGCCGACGGCTGTGCTGTGCTGGGCCGTGCTGAATTGCGATGTGCCATGCCGCGATTGTGCTCTATAGCGTTGTGGATCGAGTCCTCCTTTGCATCCGAGTCCTGACCGAACTGATCTGGATCTTAAGCTCGAGCTGCCTCAGCACATAGTAGCTGCCCCAGAGCTAATTGACAGGGGGATATGCCAGGAGGACTCGCCGCGGAATGTCCCAAGGGACGCGCCAAGCGACGTCCCAAGGGACGTGCCATGGGGACGCACCGCGGGACGTGCCAAAAGGACGCGCTACGGAACGTGCCAATGGACGTGCCGCGGGACGTGCCAAGGGACGCTCCGCGCGACGTGCCAGGGGGACTCGCCACGGGACGCGCCACGAAACGTGCCAAATTGCAGTGCTGAGTGCATCGATCTTGCTGTACCGTGCCGAGGGCTGTGCTGTGCTGCGCCGTGCTGAACTGCGATGTGCCATGCCGCGATTGTGCTCGATGTAACGTTGTGGATCGAGTGCTCCCTGGCATCCGAATCCTGACCGAACTGAACTGGATCTTAAGCTCGAGCTGCCTGAGCAGATGGTAGCTGCCCCAGAACTAATCGACAGAGGGGACATGCCAGGAGGACGCGCCGCGGAACGTCCCAAGGGACGCGCCAGGCGACGTGCCAGGGGACGTGCCATGGGGACGCACCGCGGGACGTGCCAAAAGGTCGCGCTACGGAACGTGCCAATGGACGTGCCGCGGGACGTGCCAGGGGACGCGCCGCGCGACGTGCCAGGGGGACTCGCCACGGAACGCGCCAAGGAACGTGCCAAGGTGCAATGTTGAGTGTATCGATCTTGATGTACCGTGCCGACGGCTGTGCTGTGCTGGGCCGTGCTGAACTGCGATGTGCATGCCACGATTGTGCTCGATGTAACGTTGTAGATCGAGTCCTCTTTGCATCCGAGTCCTGACCGAACTGATCTGGATCTTAAGCTCGAGCTGCCTGAGCAGATGGTAGCTGCCCCAGAACTAATCGACAGAGGGGACATGCCAGGAGGACGCGCCGCGGAATGTCCCAAGGGACGCGCCAGGCGACGTGCCAGGGGACGTGCCATGGGACGCACCGCGGGACGTGCCAAGGGGACGCGCTACGGAACGTGCCAATGGACGTGCACCGCGCGACGTGCCAGGGGGACTCGCCACGGGACGCTCCGCGGAACGTGCCAGGCAACATGCCAGGCTGCAATGCTAAGGGTATCGATATTGATGTACCGTGCCGAGGGCTGTGCTGTGCCTGGGCGACCTGGACACGTGGAAACACGCGTTCCGCTCAAGACGCTCCCAGTACATCCTCATGCTAGACATCCGCCTGGGCAACCTGGACACATGCAAACAAGCGTCTCGATCGAGACTTCCTCGACACATCCTCATGCTAGACATCCGCCTGGGCGACGAGGACGCGTGAAACCAAGCGTCTCGCTCGAGACATCCTCAACAGATCCTGGCGCTAGACCTCTGCCTGGGCGACCTGGAGGCGTGAAACCAAGCGTCTCGCTCGAGACGTCCTCAAGACCTGGGCACGTGAAAACAAGCATGTCACTTGAGAGATCCTCTGAATTCAGGTCCCCATGAGAGGACAATCTATAACACAAAACAAGCGTTTCGCTCGAGACATCCTCAAGAAATTCTGAATAACAAGCGTTTTGCTCGAGACATCCTCAACTTTCTAATTCGCCGGCCCTAGGCGACCTCGGTATTTACAGCAAAAGAAATTCGCCTGCCCTACAGCCGTCGAAACCGGGGGGAAACCTCTGAGAACCCTGGGCCGGCGCCCTTTCTGGGAAAAAATGAAGTCGATAGTGAGATCGATAGTGCGATCGACAAGAGTCCCGTGGTGTCCCGTGGTCTCCCGTTGACTGAAATCGATCGTGAGATCGATAGTGAGCTCGATAGTGAGATCGACGTGGTGTCCCGAAGTGTCCCGTGGTGTCCCGTGGTGTCATTTGGTGTCCCGTTGAATGAGAATGTGAGATCGATAGCGAGACCGATAGTGAGATCGCGAGGTGTCTCGCGGTGTCTCGTGGTGTCCCGTGGTGGCCCGTGGTGTCCCGTGGTGTCCCCTTGAGTGAAATCGATGGTGAGATCGACAGTGAAATCGACATATGTCCCATGGTGTCCCGTGGTGTCCCGTGGTGTCCCGTGGTGTCCCGCTGACTGAAATCGATCGTGAGCTCGATTGAATCAGATGTTGGTTCCCCCCCCTCTCCCCCCACACAACCTCCTTAGTACCCGAAGGGTGGTCGTATAGGTATGATTGATCGTATTACTGCTACCAATATTAATATGAGGATTATTGTTTGTCTTCTTCTCATCAGTAATAGTATTAGCATTGCTCTTCTTAGTGCTACTACCGTTCATGTGTTTAGTCATTGCGTTAGTTTTCTTATTATTGCTCCTCATCATCCTAATTATCATCATCCTCCTTCTCTTCCTCGTCCTCCTCCTCCTCATCCTCTTTTCCACATTATTAGTACTCGCGATTAGAAGTTAGTACTAGTCATAGTATTACTATGTGTCTTCATGCATTTGTTCTTCTTACTACTACGATTATTAGTATTATTCCTTCTCCTCCCCATCCATCATCATCATCATCAGCAGCAGCAGCAGCATCATCATCATCATCATCATCATCATCATCATCATCATCATCATCATCATCATCATCATCATCAGCATCATCATCATCATCATCATCATCATCATCATCATCATCATCATCATCATCATCATCATCATCATCATCATCATCATCATCATCATCCGCGTCCTCTTCCTCTTCTTCCTCCTCCTCCTCCATTCCTTTTCCTTATAAACGACTTCTCCCTGTCGCACCCCGAAGCCTGTCGAAAGGGCGGACCGGGCGTGGTCGAGACTTCCTCACCATTTATGACCCTGAAGCTTGAACACTGGCAACAGTTTCACACATGTAGGGCGGGTGGTTTTCAAAATGTGGCTCTCGCCTTAGTGCCGCGCACATTCGTTTAAAACATGTGCAAGAGCTTCGTGGATTGAGGGCGGGTCGTTTTCAAAATGTGGCTCTCGCCTTAGCGCCGCGCACATTCGTTTAAATACTTGAAAGAGTTTCACGGATTGAAGGCGGGTCGTTTTCGAAATGTGACACTCGCTTAGCGCCGCGCACATTCGTTTGAAACATTTGCAAGAGCTTCACGGATTTTGAGGGCGGTTCTTTTTCAAGATGTGGTTCTCGCCCTAGTGCCGCGCACATTCGTTTCAAACAGTTGCAAGAGTTCCACGGAATTTCATAGTCAGCGTAGCACACATGGTGTTCTGGAAAGGTTCAAGATTATGAGGGCCTACAGTCACGTTGATTCGCTGTGTCGAAGACCAGGAATTGCGTTCTGTCACGATTCAAGATCGTCAAAAGGTTGATCCATGGCGTTGGAATCCCGAAAATCATGTTTTGGCACGCATCAGGCTCTTCAACCGGTTGTCTTCCAACGAAGCAGTTCCCTCATTGGAAATGAACCGTTGTAGGGGCCTACCAAGAGGGAGCTTAGAGGGAGGGTTTATTCCAACACCAACATCGTTGAAGACTCTTGGGTTTACACTGGTCCTCCTCCTCCTCCTGTTCCTCCTCCTCCTCCTCCACCTCCTCCTCCTCCTCTTCCTCCTCCTCTTCCTGATCGACATCCTCATCCCTGAGAAAGCGTGATCCACCGCCGCTTTACTGTGGAAAATTCCCCCCACTCTTCCTCCAGAACCCGGGGGCCCCCTCCCCCCCGAAAATCCCCCCCCCCCTGCTGGAATCCCCTCCCCCCATTCCCCCGGCAAAACCCCCCACCTCCCCTAAACCCCTAAACCCCCCCCCCTCCTGGAAAACCAGGGGGGTCACTACCGGTTTAAACCCCCCCCCTCGAAAACCAGGGGGGGTCACTACCGGTTCGAACCCCCCCCCTCCCCTCCCCTCGAAAACCGGGGGAGGGGGTCACTACCGGTTCGAACCCCCCCCCCCTCGAAAACCAGGGGGGGATCACTACCGGTTCGAACCCCCCCCCTCCCCTCGAAAACCGGGGGGAGGTCACCCCCCCCCCCCCCCCCCCCTCGAAAACCGCCGGGGGAGGTCACTACCGGTTCGACCCCCCCCCCCCACCCCCCCCACGCCTCACCGCCAGCAAACAAACCACCACTGTACCCTCCACTGTCCCACTGTTTCCACCACGTTCCCCACTGTCCCCTCACCACTGTCCCCACCACCGCCGTGCCCACCACTGTCCCACTGTCCCCACTGCTGTTCCCACGATTGTCCCCGCTGTCCCCACCAGTGCCCCCACCAGTGTCTCACTGGCCCCACTCTCCCCGCCATTGTCCCACCACACACCACAATCCCACTCTCCCCACTTTCCCCACGGTCCCCACCACTGTCCCACTGTTCCCGCTGTTCCCACCACTGTCCCACTGTCCCAGTTGCTGTCCCACTGTGCTGTCCCACCGTCCCCACTGTCCCCATCACTGTCTCACTGTCCCTACTGTCCCCGCCACTTTCCCCCACTGTACTACTGTCCCACCACTGTCCACACCACCGCCTTCACCAGTCCCCACCACTAACGTCCCCACCACTGTCCCACTGTCTCCACCACTGCCCCGCTGTCCCCTCACCACTGTCCCCACCACCACCGTCCCCACCACTGTCCGCACCACTGTCCCACTGTCCCCGCACCACTGTCCCCACCACCACCGTTCCCACCACCGTCCCAACATCCCCACCATTCTCCAACTGTCCCGAGGAACGGGCATTGTTTGCCGGCGGCGAGAGCGGGGGGGGGTTCGAACCGGTAGTGACCCCCCCTGTTTTCGACGGGGGGGGGTTCGAACCGGCAGTGAACCCCCGCGATTTTCGAGGGGGGAGGGGGGGGGGGTCGGACCGTTAGTGACCCCCCTGGACTGGAGGGGGGGTTCGAACCTGTAGTGACCCCCCCCTGGTTTCCTTTTCGAGGAGGGGGGGGGGGGGACGGGTTAGGAACCCCCAGTGACCCCCCCAGTTTTCCGCCAGCAGCGGCAGAACACGCTCTTTCTCATCCCTGGTTCGGCTGGCTTGTCGTGGCGCTCCACAACAAGATCGGCGGACAAAACTTGCCGCATTACGCATAGTTATCATCCGTGTGGTGGTAGTGGTCGTCGTCTTCCCCCCACGACCGAATATCCGCCACCGCGCACCCTGGCACGCTGGGGCGTGCTAGAATGCCAGGCGCTGTCTGGCAGGACTCCGGTGGGTTTCCAAACCATCCTGTGGTGTGAGTCCTCGCTTTGCAAAGACAGACAGCGCCACGAGTCCCTCCCTACTTCCCGCCTCCTCCCGCTTCTCCCTCCTCCCACCCTTGCCTCTGCCCTCCGCACCCCAGGTCGGCACACCGCTCACACGCTTCGAGGCCCCGTGGGGAGCTCCACCGAAGGCCACGGTGGGTGCGCTCGCGCGGCACCGCCGCACCCGTCTCGGAGCTCCCCTCACAACTGTCGTGGCCCCATATGAAGCTCCACCGACGGGGTGGGTGGCTGCACTCGCGTGACCCAGTTCGGCACACCCCTCACGCGCTTCGTCGCCCCATAGGGAGCTCCACCGAAGGCCACAGTGGCTGCGCTCGCATGGCACCACCACGCCCGTTTCCGCACACCCCCCGCACGCTTCGTGACCCCATAGGGAGCTCCACCGAAGGCCACCGTGGCTGCGCTCGCATGGCACCACCGCGCCCGTTTAAGCACACCCCTTACACTTGTCGTGGCCCCGTACAGAATGGCTACGCTCGCATAGCTCCACGGCACACAGCTCGCCACACCCCTCACCCCGCTACGGCTCTGGCGATCCGTCTCCGGGCGGCGGCCGCGGCCGGCGCGCGCGGGGCCGCCTAGCGCGCGCGGGCCGCACGGCGTCGGTCAGTTGGGGAGTTCACACGCTCGGCGACGGGCGAGGAGCAGAACCGAGCAGGGCAAGCTCGCGTGCGGCAGGCTCGTATCGCGCCGGCTTCGGCGCTGGCTCTCGACACAGCGGGGATCGCTCAACCCTGAACGATCGGCCGTTTCCTAAACGTCAGATCGTTCAGCATCGACCGGAGATGGGTCGCCGGCGGAGCTCAACATCGCCGGCGGCAGGGTCGCCGCCGGTCGACACGACGCGGACCCACCATGTCAACTCTCCCCACAATTACCATGAATGCGGCCTGCTGCGCTCCGCGGGAGCGGCACAAGCCGGGCTGGGGACCCTGATTCGGCACGCAGCCGAGATGGAGGACCTGGCTCTCAGGCGGAGAGAAGGGGGGGGGATCGTATGACGTCGTCTTCGAGGACCGACCAGCCAACCGAGCGACGTACCTATCTGACCAGGTTGGAACTCACTGGATGTCGCGCAGGAGGAGGACGAGGTGAAGAATGAGGACGCTGATCAAAACGAGAACCATGGAAAGGGAAGAGGATGAGAAGTTTGATTTGAGAAGATAAGGCGAAGGGGAAGGGCCACGACGTTAAGAACAACGAAACAGCGGAGAGAGGAGCGGAGAAACACGTCGTCGTCTTCGCGAGCTCCGTCGGTGAGGGCCTCCAAGCCGACGTCGGCCTGGATCACGTGAACCTCAGGACGGGCACTGGAGCGACTCCCCCTCATCCGCCTCCTCCTTCTCCTCCTCCTCCTCATCCTCCTCCTCCTCCTCCTCCTCCTCCTCCTTCTCCTCCTCCTCCTCCTCCTCATCCTCGCCCTCCTCCTCCTCCTCCTCCTCGCCCTCCTCCTCCTCCTGATCCTCCTCCTCCTCCTCCTCCTCCTCCTCCTCCTCCTCCTCCTCCTCCTCCTGTTCCTCCTCCTCTCCTCCTCCTCCTCCTCCTCGTCCTCCTCCTCCTCTTCCTCCTCCTCCTTGTCCTCCTCCTGCTCCTCCTCCTCCTCCTCCTCCTCCTCCTCCTCCGATCCAAAATCCTTATTAGAATATACTCTTACTCCCCCCTTTGGCCGGCCGATAGCGGCCCCATCCGGGCCTTCCCATCCGAACTGTAAACATGATCGACCCACGAACCCGGAAAGGAATATAGAAATGTAAGACATGGCAACGTTTCAAAGACACCTGATTGGGCGACGGGCAAATGCAATGCTTAGTGTATCGACCTTGATGTACCGTGCCGAGGGCTGTGCTGTGCTGTGCCGTGCTGAATTGCGATGTGCCATGCCACGAGTGTGCTCTATAGCGTTGTGGATCGAGTCCTCCTTTGCATCCGAGTCCTGACCGAACTGATCTGGATCTTAAGCTCGAGCTGCCTAAGCACATAACTAGTAGCTGCCCCAGAGTTGATTGACAAGGGAACATGCCAGGAGGACGCGCCGCAGAACGTCCCAAGGGACGCGCCAGGCGACGTGCCAGGGGACGTGCCATGGGGTCGCACCGCGGGACGTGCCAAGGGGACGCGCTACGGAATGTGCCAATGGACGTGCCACGGGACGTGCCAAGAGACGCACCAAGCGAGGTGTCAGGGGACGTGCCACGGGGACGCACCGCGGGACGTGCCAAGGGGACGCGCTACGGAACGTGCCAATGGACGTGCCACGGGACGTGCCAGGGGACGCGCCGCGCGACGTGCCAGGGGGACTCGCCACAGGACGCGCCACGGAACGTGCCAAAGAACGTGCCAAATTGCAATGCTGAATGAGTGTATCGATCTTGATGTACCGTGCCGCGGGCTGTGCTGTGCTGCGCCGTGCTGAACTGCGATGTGCCACGTGACGATTGTGCTCTATAGCGTTGTGGATCGAGTCCTCCTTTGCATCCGAGTCCTAACCGAACTGATCTGGATCTTAAGCTCGAGCTGCCTGAGCACATAGTAGCTGCCCCAGAGCTAATTCACGGGGGGCATGCTAGGAAGACGCGCCGCCGAAAGTTCCAAGGGACGCGCCAGGCGACGTGCCAGGGGACGTGCCATGGGGACGCACCGCGGGACGTGCCAAGGGGACGCGCTACGGAACGTGCCAATGCATTATGGACGTGCCACGGGACGTGCCAGGGGACGCGCCGCGCGACGTGCCAGGGGGACTCGCCACAGGACGCGCCACGGAACGTGCCAAAGAACGTGCCAAGTTGCAATGCTGAGTGAGTGTACCGATCTTGATGTACCGTGCCGAGGGCTGTGCTGTGCTGCGCCGTGCTGAATTGCGATGTGCCATGCCGCGATTGTGCTCTATAGCGTTGTGGATCGAGTCCTCCTTTGCATCCGAGTCCTGACCGAACTGATCTGGATCTTAAGCTCGAACTGCCTGAGCACATAGTAGCTGCCCCAGAGCTGATTGACAGGGGCCCTTCCGCGGCCTTCCGCCGCGGAAGAGATGACAACTCCTTCGATCCTCGAAGGAAAGGCCATGTTTGGAACGCCCCATGTCATACTGGCCTTCGTTCGCTGACACTCTACGGCTCGCGCAAGGGGGTAAGGGGAGAGGGCGGGGAAGGCACCGTCTTTCATCAAAGCGCGAATCGCGCGAGCCCCGATGGGCTCTCCGTTGCCGGCATGTGGACCCAAGTCAGCACCACTCGCAGAGGCAATGGGATGACAAAAGGAAAACAGCGAACTGCACGGCAAGCGTTGCAGCGCCACACGCGGATTCAGCTCCAGATATGCTTCCGCGGAATCGTGTGGACTTCAGGCGCAAGGCAGCGTGGAGCGGAGCAAAAAGGCACTGCGCCCTGCAAAGAGACACTACACAACTAACACACGGGGAAGATGCAATGTCCGTATGAGATTGCGCATGCGCACGCATCCAAGCGAAACATACTATAGACTCGTTTTGCCTACATCTGCTCAAGTCTAGGCCCTAAGCTCCCCTGCAATACCTTGAAGAGCTGCGAAGCTGTTCCCGTTGCCGTGCAAGAAGCAGATTGAACCGTTTGTCAGCTTGCTCTGAATGAACTTGCCCGTGTTGGTGCCGTTGACTTCGAGCGGGAGGCTTCCGAGGTTCATGTTGTGGAGAGACATGGACAGGATGCCAGCGTAGTCGAGAGTCACAGTAGCAGGGTTCTTCAGGTAGTACTCGTTGAACCATCGATTGTCCCAGCCGCTGTAAGTAGTCCCAAGATCTGCGATCATGTCGATGAGAGCGTCGATTGTACCCATCATGAAGCCGGAGTTGGCGTACATGTACTTGGGTGAAGAGTTGCACGGGCCGAGGCTGGGGTCGGTGCAGTTGGCGTATGTCGACTCCCAGTCGTCGGGCACGCTCAAGTCCGAAAGCACGTCGGCCCTCCTGCCCTCAACCCAGCTAGAGCTAGTCATGTTATAGCTCCACCCCAAGTCAGCTGGCCAAGGACTCAGCTCCGCCGCCATCACGATCTTCTGCGAGCCGCCACTCGCGTTGACGATCCTGTTGTACTTATAGACGATCGTGTTCTCGTCACAGCCGCCGCCGTAGAGGACATCACCGCTGGAATGGATGATGGCCAACCTGGTGCTGCCCCCCGTCCCGCGGTCAGCCCAATATTCCAGCCAGTCCTTCGCAGCAGACCACCTCATCCTCTGCCACTGCCACACAGTCAGATCGCCCGCAGGGTTCGTCAAACCATTCAGGTGCTTGATCTCCTCACCTCCTTTGCCCGTGTAGCGAAAATTTGCAGGAGGCTGTGTAACCTTGAGGGAGTCTTTGACCAAGGCCCTGCCAATCAGAACGTTTGGTGGGAATCCTTGAATTTCCCGTCCAGTCTGCAACGAGCTCAGGTGGATCTCAGTAGCAGCAGAATCGCTAATTGGAAACTCGCCAACGTAGCCAACATCCCTGAATGACGGCGTGTCCCTGTAGATTTCCCAAGGAATGCTCAAGAGCGCCTGCTTGTTGGAGAGCACCTCGCCCGCAAGCTCCATCACCAAGTCCTCCCCCTCGCCGACAGCCCTGCAGACACAAACGAAACTGACAAGTGCCAGCAAGTTCATACCCGTGGCCATGGTAGCCGCACAGGGGGCCCAGGCAGTGCGCTGCGGCGTCGAGGTCCGACCACGAACGAGCCCTTGAGCCAAAATGGCTACGGAAGAGGGGGGAAGGCTTCTTGGAAGGGGGCTGTGCCTTAGAAGGTGCGGGCCTTACATCTGCAGACGAGGCCCACGACTTCGAAGGAGCAGGGGGGTGCCTCTAAGAGGCCTTCCCCCCTCGCTTCATCCCCCTGATCGCATGGCCGAAGCACTCTGAAACCCCGAAACCGAAAAAGATGGCATCTCTCTTCGGGGACCACGGCCAGAGAATCTCGACCCCTGCGGTGGCACGCCAGGGCGCAAACATCCCAGCCGCTCTGGAGCAGGCGCCCCCAATGGCGAAGCAGAATATGTGTCCTGTCGGCCGTCGTTCGCTAACACCCTTGAGATCCGACGTAGCGAAAAATTGCAGCATCGTGAAAAATCACGCCCGGAGCCCTAGACCCCATCTTTCAGTGACATTTTTTGAGCCAGCTCGATCTGAGAGGGTCCCGGGGCCGGGAATAAAAAGCGAAAACCCCCAGCTCGAAAAAATGGGGGCGCCAGGATCTCAGGGACTCTGGAGCCCCGAGCCCCACAAAGGCGGCATCTCTCTTCGAAAGGGTGGGAGGGCTGCTCTTGCGCCCGCCTGCCCCCGTCCAGCGCACGGGGGCGCGCCCAGAACCAGGCAGGCCACGTCGCGCGAAGGGCCGGGCCGGCCGCTTGAAGCAGCCGCCAGAGGCCCGGGGGCAGCGCAGGGCGGCGGGGCGGGGGGGGGGGGCCAGCTCGTGAGCGTTTTCTCATTCGGCTTTTCGACAGTGGGCGGAAAGGAGGGCGAGAGGGGGGGAGGTCTGGCTCCAGAGCTCTGCTTACTGCGACTGTTCGCAGCAGTCCGTCCTATAGGAGAGACTCCACCTGCTCGAAGCAGGCGCCAGAACCAGCCCAGCTACTCCATTGGGGGGGGCAACAATGAATACGAAAACGATCACCCCCCAAACCTGGGCCACCCAGGCGAGAGGGAGCGGAGAGGACTGGCCGACCCCCGCTTGGAGCTTGACCCCCCTTCTTGCCATCGCTCGGGCGCCCCTTCTTCTTATTATTATTTCTTTTTATTATTATTATTCTTCTTCTTATTATTATTATTATTATTAGTATTATTTTTCTTCTTCTTATTCTTCTTCTTCTTCTTATTATTCTTCTTCTTCTTCTTCTTCTTCTTCTTCTTCTTCTTCTTCTTATTATTATTATTATTATTATTATTATTATTATTATTATTATTATTATTATTATTATTATTCTTGTTATTCTTCTTCGTCTTCTTCTTCGCGCACGGTGCGATGTCCTGCGCGTCTGTTCCTCGAGATGAACCGAGATGATCCAAGATTAGGTCGGGCATGTCCCCCTACAGGCGGATTTTTGATGACAAATTGAAAATACCCGAGAAAATCCTGAAAATACTAACAAATGGTCAAAAAATCGTGCCGCGACTATTTTTAGACTATTTTTGAACATTTCTCCTGTAGAGCGACAGGCCCGACTGAAATCCAAGATGGCCCAGAGTTTCTGGCGCCGGCCAAGCCGACGACAGCAACAGAACAGAACACACGCGTCCGGGCGATGCCAAGCGTCTTTCGTGCCGCCCGACGACCTTTTGCGCGGGCGGAGGGCGCCCGCGCCCTCGTTCCGCGTCCACTGGCCTCCGCCAAGAGCACACGAGACGTTAACCCTGTGGATGCCACGGCACTGGACACCCCAGCAGTCCTATCATTGAATTTTACATGTGTTCAAAAGGTCGGGAAGATGTCCTAAACATGTTTAAAAACATGTATTTTTACATGTTTAACACATGTTTTAGACATCTGGACATGATTTGGCAGCATGCTTCCTCTCCACTTGACTACCTACCAGACCACCCCAACCCAACCCGAAGACCCCAATTTCGGGTTGGGGGGGGGGTACGGGTTCCATATGTGCTTTTTCAGTGTTCCCCGACCCCCCCCCAACTGGAAATGGAGGGCAAATTGAGGCCTTCGGGTTGGGCTGGGGTGGTTTGGTGGGTGGTGGCCATTGATCGTCCTCCACAGCGTCAGCCTCTTGACCCCTCCGAGGGCGCGCCGCCCCCGTGGAGCGCCCCGCGCGTGCGCGTGCCGAGCGCGCGGCCTGCGACAGCGTGAACCGCTGCCTTTCCGGAGGCGCTCGGCGCCCTCCCCTTCGACCTGAGTCCCTCCTCCTCCTCCTCCTCCTCCTTCTCCTCCTCCTCGTCATCATCATCATCATCATCATCATCATCATCACCACCACCACCACCACCATCATCATCATCATCATCAGAATCATCATCATCATCATCATCATCATCATCATCATCAGCATCATCATTATCAGCATCATCAGCGTCATCATCATCATCAGCATCATCATCATAATCATCATCACCATCACGATCATCATCATCATCATCATCATCATCATCATCATCATCATCATCATCAGCATCATCATCCACAGCATCATCATCCTCATCATCATCATCGTCATCATCAGCATCGTCATCAGCATCATCAGCAGCAGCATCAACGTCATCGATCTTCCTCCTCCATCTTCCTCCTCGATCCCCTTCACTTCCCAACCCACCCCCTCACGAGCGGCGAACATCTGGGTATCCGCGCCCTCGCGGTCTGGACTACAGGGGCGCGACCCCGCAGGGGCACGCGGTCGCACGAATGCACCCTGCGCGGAGCATCCGCGAAAAAGCACCCCGTGTCCACGCGGTGGCGGCCCAGTGGCCTGGCCCGCGAGGCCGCGGATACGCATATGCGTTTCGCCCATGACCCCCCCCCCACCCCTCCACGATCATTGATCGCCCCTCCCTCCACGATCCTCTCAATCGCCCTCCCCCAGAACACAAAGCGCACGGCAGCGAAGAATCCGCCATGCGAATACAGCCAAGACCAGAAGCAGCAGAAAAGCGGAGGGGGGAAAGAGAGAGAGAGGGGAAGGGGAAGGGCAAGGGGAAAGGAAGGAGAGAGGAGCGATCCTCGGCCCCCGATCCTCCACCCCATCACCCCCCCCCCAATCCTCCCCCCTCTCCCCGTCCCCGATCCTCCCCCCCCCCGATCCTCCCCCCGATCCCCCCCCGGTCCTACCCCCCCCCCCCCGATCCTCCCCCCGCCCGCCTCCCCTCCCCCTCCCCCGATCCTCCCCCCCGATCACCCGGCCCCCCCAAATCCTCCCCCCCACCCATGAGCCCCCACTCCTCTCCCTCCGCAAGCCTCGATCGCCCGGCGGCTAATTTGAAGCCGCCCTCGTCGCCAAGGATCAGCACGGAAGTGGACGTCCTCCACATCGTCGGCCCTGGAGTCGTGCTCACTGTATGGGTTGATCAGGCCAGTCGAATCCCAGTCGAATCCACGGTCGCCATCCCTCCGCGATCCTCGGCCCTCGATCCCACACGACCCCCGATGAGCTGGGGGGGGAGCCTTGCCGCGAGGTTGAGGCGCCGTGGCCAGGATCTCATCCCGGGCGGCCTCGGCGCGCTGCCTGCTGCGGCAGACCATGTAGATCGTGGCGTTCCTGCTGGCCAGGTACTGGGCGACCTCCTTCCCGACCTGGGCACCCCTGCTCCTCTGTCCTACTCCTCCTTCTCCTCCTCCTCCTCCTCCTCCTCCTCCTCCTCCTCCTCCTCCTCCTGCTCCTCCCCCTCCTCCTCCTCCTCCTCCGCCTCCTCCTCCTCCTCCCTCCTCCTCCTCCCCTCCTCCTCCTCCTCGTCCCCCTCCTCCTGTTCCTCCTCCTCCCCTCCTCCTCCTCCTCCTCCTCCTCTTCCTCCTCCTCCTTCTCCATTCCTTGTCCTGATAAGTAACTTCTCCCTGTCGCACCCCGAGGCGAGTTTTAGGGCTGGCCGGGCGTTTCGCCAGAGACGTCCTCACCGTGTATGACCCTGAAGCTAAAATTAACATATGCTCACAGATGGAGGGCAGCTAGCTTTCAAAAATGTGGCTCTCGCCTTGGCGCCGCGCACATTCGTTTAAACAATGCTAGAGCTTGACGGATTGAGGGCAATGATTTTCAAAATGTGGCTCTCGCCTTAGCGCCGCGCACATTCGTTGTCAAAAGCTGCAAGAGCTTCACGGATTGAAGACAGACGTTTTTGAAACTGTGGCTCTCGCCTTAGCGTCGCTCACCTCCGTTCTTCAAAATTGCAAGATGATCACGGATTGAGGGCGGATGTGTTTCAAAATGTGTCTCTCGCACTAGCGCCGCGCACAATCGTTTAAAACCATACAAGAGCTTCACGGATTGAGGGCGGTTCCTTTTCAAACTGTGGCTCTCGCCTTAGCGCCGCGCACACCCATTTTAAACATGTGCAAGAGTTTCACGGATTCCCATGATCAACGTACCAGAAATGGTTTTGAAAGGATTCAGGATTATGAGGAAGGCCTAAGAATGGCGTTCTGGCAAGATTCTGGATCGTCATGACGCAACAGTCAGGTTGGTCCGTGGCGTTGGAATCCCGAGAACAATGTTTGGGCATGCTTCAGAGTCTTCAAACGGTTGTCTTCCAACGAGGCAACTCCCTCAGTGGAAATGAACCGCTGTATGGCGCCTAAGAAGAGGGAGCTCAGAGGGAGGGTTTATTCCAACATCGTTGCTGACTCTTGGATTTACACTGGTCCTCCTCCTCCTCCTCCTCCTCCTCCTCCTCCTCCTCCTCCTCCTCCTCCTCCCTCCCCTCCCTCCCGCCCTCCCTCCCTCCCCCTCCCTCCCTCCCTCCCTCCCTCCCTCCCTCCCTCCCTCTCCCTCCCCCCCCCTGCCTCCTCCTCCCTCCTCCCTCCTCCTCCTCCTCCTCCTCCTCCTCCTCCTCTCCTCTCCTCCTCCTCCTCCTCCTCCTCCTCCTCCTCCTCCTCCTCCTCCTCCTCCTCCTCCTCCTCCTCCTCCTCCTCCCGCTCGGCCGGCCCGGCCCGCCGGCCGTGCGTGCGGGGCGCCGGGCGCCGCGCTGGCCACTGCCCGCAGGTTCCCGCATGTTCCTGGGGCTCGACGACGAATCGTGTCTGTTGGGTTGTTTCCCCTCCTGGATCGCGGCACAATGGCATCGGAGCGACTTCGGGCGGGAAAGCTTTACCAGCCTCGAACGTATCCCTATCCCTAAGATTGACACGCCAAAAGGCGATGACAATCTTAGGGATTCGCCCTGAAAAACTAAGGGAATCCCTAAGATTGGCATCGTGATGAGGAGGTGCCCAGCATAGGGATCGGGATATGTTCCAGGCTGGTAAGATGAATTGTGTCTGTTGTGTTTTTTCCCCTCCTGGATTGCGGCACAGTGGCATCGGAGCGACTTCGGGCGGGAAAGCCGTGAGAACGCCTGCTGGGGGGTCCCATGGTTCCGGGGGGTGCGGGGCGAGGGGAGCGCAGAGCCGGCTCAGTGCCACACTCCGGAGTTGGCGCCCGTGATCATGTAGACCTTGCCGGACAGGTCCAGCTCCTGTGACAAGATGTCCGGCTGTGCATAGCGTGCCCTATGCTTCTGATAGCCAGTCTGCGTGAAGTGATTCCTGCAGGGAGGGAATGATGACGAGACGAGCACATGCCAATGACCCAAGAGAAGCAGCATGAGAGGATCGAGCGAACACACTAGTATCGAACGTGTATTTTCACAGCGCTTCACAAGAAGGCAAGACGCCGATATTCGTACAGCACGTTGTCAGGCAGTTGTTGAACATTACCAAACAAACAAACTTAAAAATGCGAACGTCATGGTTGCTAGTTCAAGCTGGACGTGACAGTGTTCAGAGCACTCATCATAAGTCATTGATGATGCGACAGTGGAAAAGGCATACGTGGGCATCAGGACGCGCATGACGTATGAAGATGCTGACCGTTGCATGACAACACGCCTTCAACGACGGACGGGCATGGCTGAGCACGCACCCGAGCCAAGCTAACGTCTGTCCTGCCGTACAGGTAGAACTGGCTCGTCGCCGCGAGCTGACCGAATCCCATCGCGTAACGGAGGAGCGTAAACAGCACTTCTTGACTGCGATGTGTGGAGCGGCGCCTCAGGCCAGAACGGCACTGCGCTGCTCCATCCTGCCCCTGTAGACGCATCCCTCGCCACTGGCACATGCAAAGATCCTGCGTGCGCATGTATGGCGGACTCCGAAAAACCTGAACCCATTTTTTTCGCGGCGCAGGCACAAGGAAAAACAGCGGTCTTGAATAACTCCTCGGCGCGTCAGCGCGCAACGAAGATGTCACGAAACTCGGCCCGCAAATGCGAGCGACATCTGAAAAGGATGCACACACACACAGCGTCATTGTCAGTCTCCCTCGCCTCGCTTCTGTCGGCCTCCTCCTCTGTCTTCCTCTCTCTCTCTTTCTCTCCCCTCCTCTGCCGCTCCTCCTCCTCGACCTGAGCCCACAACATGTTGTCATCTCTTGGGGGCGCCCTTCTTTACTTCCGCCACCCTCCGCTGCCCTTCCGCCATGGCTTCCGCCAGGCGGCGGCGGCCTCCTTCTGCCTCCGCCGACCCTCCGCGCCGCCCTTTCCGCCGCCCTTTCCGCCGAGGAAGAGATGAGAACTCCTTCGATCCTCCAAGGCTTGGGGTCGGTTTTTTAATCTTTCTGAAAAAATTGAAAGTTCGTTTTGAGAACGGAATTCCTCTAGCTCACCGATGCCGAGGAGATCTACGAGATACTGGAATCCGGCGGTAAACCGTCAACCAGGTAACCGCCGGAAGCCTCGTAGAGCTCTGTTCTCGAGCGGCGCTGCGCATAAAGGCCCTTGTCGGAACGCCTCATTCGGCTGTGGACAAACCTCCCTTTAGTAAACCTCCCTTTAGCAAAACAGGACCCCAGAGGCCTCCAAGGTGACCTAGATATCCCCGAGAGGCCCCCAGACACCTCCAAGACGGCCTCCCAGGTCGTCAAGGCAACTCCATGGGAGCCCTGAGAAAGCCTCGGAGGGCCCAACAAATTCGCAAAAAAGTCTCAGAGTTCCACACATCACGGAAAGTCGCCTTCCCCAATGGTTTCCATTGTGGCCGGGGGGGGCATGCAGTCCAGTAGCTTGGCCACTACTTGACCTATGAGGCTCCAACAGCCCAAGAGGCCCCATGAGGCCCCGAGAGGTCGAAGAGGCGATTCAAGAGGTCCCAGGCAAAGCCTCAGACTGCACAAACCACTGAGAATCCAAGAGGCTTCTGCATCCAAAGCGTTTCGGTCAAAAGATGGATCCAAAAGGGCTCTGGAGAGGCCCGAGAGAGATTGCTAAACGTCTGGCCACACAGGCGCTTCCCAAAAGGCAAGTGGCGGCGGTGACTCGACTGAGGTGTCCTCGACGAACTGCATGCGTAAGACGCCCTGGATGCTAGGCAAACCCAGGCCACACGACGCGGTCGCGCTTGCGGCCCGACCCCCAAAGAGCCCGCGCAAAACTGGAGCTGGCACAGCAGGTTTCCCTGAGAACCCAATGAGGAACACCTGGGTAATCCGAGTCGGGAAGGACGAGCGGATTTTGGAACAGTCTGTCGTTTGCGTGATGACCCAGCTCGCTGGGATTGGGGGGAAGTTTACGCATATCAGACACGCATGCGCATGCCATGCCAACCTCTCTATACTGATACGCACGCTCGCTTTGCGAACTGGGCAAACTATCTCAATAATTGTTCACGTGCGGCTGCTTTTTCGTTCATCGGGACCTCAGCTGGAACGCCTGGGGCTGCTTGACAAGCCGTCAGAGTCTGAACCCCAGCTGCTGCTCGAGGTGTCGGCATCGCTGCGCCTCGGCGCCGAGCTGGCCGCACTGCGACACGCAGCCGCCGATCGAGCGGTTGGAATGCGGCTCCAATCGGGTCGGCCTACGTGCCAACGGCAGCCTGATTGCCCAATGGGGACGGGCCACGCCCGAGCGATCCAGTAGAGCCAGCCAGTATCGCAAGGGGTGGCCGGCCGTTCGACAATCGCTATCGCCGCCGCACTTCTGAGATCTTGCGATCGGCAGCTGCTAAGGGCCAAGCCCCCTCGGCACCCTCCGCGGCCACCAATTCCTGCGATGAGCCGAGAACCAACCAACAAAAAAAGCAGCCACACCACAATGTTAGCGCGGGTGCATGTGTTGTGCAGAACGCGAACCCATGACACCCCCCCTCCCGTCAAACGGGCGTGGCCTTCCTGTGGTTGCGGTGGTGGTCGGAGCTTCGTGGGGAAGAGGAGGAGGAGGAGGAGGAGGACCAGTGCAAACCCAATAACCCCATCAAGCCATTAAGGAACCCCCCGGAGTTATCATTAGCACAGCACCATAATTAAATAATTATGGGGACGGTTTTCACCGAACGATAGGATTAGCACCGCGCAAATGGAACGAAAATACATAAATCCCGCGCCCCGGCTCGGGTGGTATCCCAATTGGAATTGGAATAAGAATAAAAGTGGCACACGAGTAATAAGAATAAGAATACGAATAATAATAATGGTAATAATAAGAGTAAGAGTAGTAATAATAAGAGTAAGAATAAAATTGCTACTAATAAAGATAACAAGAATAAGGATCAGAATCCGAATAAGAGTGAGAGTCACAATAACAATAATAATACGAATAAGAAGTATAATAAGAATAAGAACGAGAATATTGATAATATTAATAAGAATACTAATCAGAGTAAGTGTAATACTAATAACCATAACAATAATGATAATACGAAGAAGGATAATAAGAATAATATTTAAAATTATAATAGTAACAATCATAAGAATCGGAATCAGAATGCGAGTCCGAATAAGAATCAGAAGAAGAATCATAAGAATAATAATAATAAGTATACTAAGAAAAAGAATACTAACAATAATAGAAATAAGAATGCGAATAAGAATGAAAGTGTGTCTCATTATCTTCATCATCCTTGTCCTATAAGATTTGTATTACAACCCTTGTTGAAAAAGCTGTTGTTTCCTGGCCGTCGTATGGGGTAGTGCATCCGAGGATATCGCCCCCGCCACGCACGGCGCGTCATCTTAGCACCGCACCCGCACAAAAAAATTACGACTGCTTCTCCAAAAATACATAAGGCACAAACATAAGAATAACAATACAGATAATAGTAAGATGAATAATACGAATAATAATAAGAGGGGGTACAATAATATTATGAATAATAATCATGAATAATAAAAATAAATACAATAATAATCAGAAGAATACTACAACTAAGAATAAGAATAATACAAATAATACTAAGTGCCGGGTGCGTTATACTTTCGCCGGAGAGGGGGGGGGTCTTAATTGCTTGATGCGGTTACTCATCAACGATTTTGGAATGCATCCTCCCTCCAAGCTCCCTCTTCACAGGCCCTTACAAGGGTTCATTGCCACTAGCACTGAGGGAAGTGCCCCGTTGGGGGACAAGCCTGTGAAAATTCTAAAGCGTGCCAAAACATCGATCTCAGGACTTCAACGCCACAAGTCAACCAGAATGTTGTGGCCTGGCGATCCTGAATCGTGCCAGAGCACCTTTCCTTCCCTGGGGCTTCAACACAGCGCATCATACTTGTTGCGCCCTGTTCGGAGCCACCGCCTCCGAGGGTCCCTCCACGGGCCCCTTGACTGTCAAAAAACGACTCAGGAGTAGGGGGCCACATGCGAACCCTACCCCATACCCCCCACGATTTCTGAGGGGGAGGGTGGGGTTCACTTCGCTCGGGAGCTCCAGGGTAGGGTTCGCATACAATCGGGGCCTTGACCTAAGGAACCCAAAATAAGGAACGAGGCCCCTTTTTTCCATAAGTTAAACTTCGACTTCCGATCGAAAACATAAGGAAAACCTGAGGCAAGCTGCGAAACACATAGGGAACGCGGAGCCCCTCCCCAACGAAAAGGGTTCCTTCTTCAGGGCCCCGACTGTATGGCCCCCTAGGGAGGTAGAACATGCTCCGGAGAAGTGGTCCAGACCTCCGGAGGTCCACGCGTCGAGAAAGCTGGCGCCGGACGCCTGGGGGGGCCCCAGGACACACAAATAAATACACACAAATAAAAATATTCCCCATATTTCCACATATTTTCTGGGTTTTTGTCTTCCCCCCCCTTCCCATATTTTCCCATATGTTCCTGGGGATCGACAATTAATTGTGTCTGTGTTTTTTCCCCTCCTGAGAGACGCCTCGCGACGGGGCAGAGCCGGGAGGCGGCGCGGGGGCGGCGGCAGCGGAGCGCACCGGCTGCCGCGGGGCCGAGGCGGGCCCCGAGCTGGATCGAGTCGCGAGATCGCAGCGGATCGCCGGCGGATCGTCCAGCATCGGAGCGGGATCTGACTACCTACCAGACCACCCCAACCCAACCCGAAGACCCGAATTTCGGGTTCGGGGGGGTATGGGCTCCGTATGTGTTTTTTCGATCTTCCCGGACCCCCCCCCACCACCAGAAATCGGGGGTAAATCTGACCCTTCGGGTCGGGTTGGGGTGGCTTGGTGGGTGGTGAGGATCGGATCGCCGCGCCGGGCCCTGGCTGGCCCCGGCCAGGGCAAGCGAAGCAAGCCAGAGCGAAGCGAAGCGGAAGCGCGGGCGCGGCCCGCGAGCCGAGGCGCATCGAAGCGCACCGCGGGCGGCCCTGCAAGGAGGCGCCGCTCGAGGGGCAGGCCAGCACGGCCGCCGCGGCGACGAGCCCACGGCCACCGCTGGTTCCCGTCGGGAGCAGCGGATCGGGTGGAACGGGCGGGAATCCCTGGGGGAGGCTGTTCCAGCGACGACTTCGACGAGGTGGCGCCACGGCGAGGAAGCGGCGGATAGATCAGGTGGACAATCATCCGGGGCTGGCGCAGGCCCTTGCGTGCGTTGCAGCATGCTGGGAGGAAAGCGCGAAACCCAAGCTGAACTTGAGACAACTCTGACGCCTGGGAAGGCTCAAGAATTGAATCACCAATGGGCATACACAGGCATTGCCCTGAGAACGGCCAACTCGGCCGACGTACACACCAGAGAAAGAATGTGGGCAATGCTACCAGAACAGGTGTTTGTCGAAATAGGTGCTGTGCTGCAGCCCATCACCAACCCTCCCTCCCGCAACCCCTCGAACAACACCTGTATGCCACCCCTCTCCCGCCAACATCTGCCATCAAACATTATTGGGGTTGGATCCCAAAGCTCCATTCGCGGGCGACGAACATGGAGGCCGGCACCAGTACTGTTCGCACCACGAAGGTGTCCAACAGCACAGAGACTACCAAGATGACGGCAATCTGCCTGTGCGGCAGCCAGAAATGACAGTGTAGCAATGCTGATGGTGATGGTAATGACGATGGTGATGCTGATGATGATGATGGTGATGATGATGGTGATGACGGTGATGATGATAATCATAATCAGCATGATGATGAGTATGACGATGATGATAATGATGATGGTAATGATGATGATGGTGGTGATGGTGGTGATGATGATGCTGATGATGATGATGATGGTGATGATGGTGGTGGTGATGGTGATGGTGATGGTGATGGTGATGGTGATGGTGATGGTGATGGTGATGGTAATGGTGATGGTAATGGTGATGGTGATGGTGATGGTGATGGTGATGATGATGGTGATGGTGATGGTGATGGCGATGGTGATGGTGATGGTGATGGTGATGGTGATGGTGATGGTGATGGTGATGATGACGATGATTGTGATGATGATGGTAGTGGTGAAATTGATGATGGTGGTGATGCTGATAATGATGACGATAAGAACGATGATGGCAATGGAAGTCGCCATCCATGCACATGTTGGCTGTCCTGCTGACTCTTCCACTTGTCATCCACCGGCCTGCTTGCAAGGCCAACTGGCTATCACGGCCAGACCTCTTGTCTGGCAGCACGTGTCTGCGAATGGTCCGCAAAAGTCGGTTATCACAAAGGCCTGAGGCACTGATGTCTCCTGCCATGAAAGATTGATGCACCTTGTCCAACAAGCTCGCCAGCAAACCAGGCCCGTCCCCGAATGAGGTGAAGCGAAGTGAAGTGGCCGTGTGGTTGCGATCTGCCCGCGCCGAGCCGCTTCCCAGGGGAAGGGGCACGGCCGAAGAGGCTCAGGGCGAGAGCGAGGGACCAGTGCTTAGAGAACCTTCCTTTGGGGGAGGGGGATCGCCCTCCAAGATTGCCCTGAGATGTATGGCCAGGGGAGCTGCAAAGATAGCCCAATATGACACCAAGAGTTCGCGAGAAGACGCCGAGGTGGCCCAAGACGCCTCCGACACGGACCAACAGACCGACAGACTGCGAATACTGGTCAAGATGGGCAAAGACGCACTCCTGGTTCCCAAGGGGCCAGAGCAATTGAAGAACCCAAGGTGTGCTAATCATTTGGGGATCTTCGCTTTGTCTGGATCCTATGGGCCATGAGCCTCTCACCTCCCTCCGCGAGAATATGAACAGCTCCTCATCCCGTGCGACATGTTAGGTCGCGAGCAGTACTGGAGCGTGCTTTGTTGTTATGTTCGGCAATACGGGGCGTTATGGGGTGGGGCGGGGGGGTATAACGCAACGCCACCCCCCTCCGTGCGGTTCCGGCGCCACCACAGCGTCTGCGCGCACGATGACGACAAGCAACGAAGACGACGACGACGACGACGAGTGACAACGACAACGACGACGACGACGACGACGACGACGACGAGCGACGACGAGCGACAACGACGACGACGACAACGACGACAACGAGCGACCACGACAACGACGACGACGACGACGACGACGACGACGACGACGACGACGAGCGACGACAACGACGACGACGACGAGGACGACGACGAGCGACCACGACGACGACGACGACGACGACGACGACGACGACCACGACGACGACGACGACGAGCGACACAGACGACGACAACGACGACCACGACGACGACGACGACGACGACGACGACGACGACGAAGACGACCACGACGAGCGACCACGACGACGACGGCGACGATGACGACGACGACGACGAGCGACAACGATGACGACGACGGCGACGACGACGACGAGCGACGCCTTCGGAGGTCTCCGGAGGTTTCCCGAGGCCTCCGGAGAAGCCTTCAGAGGCCGTCCAGAGGTCATCTGAAGGCCGTCCAGAGGCGAGCTATGACGACGACGACGACGACGACGACGACGACGAAGATGATGACGACTATGACGACGATGACGACGACGACGAGCGACGACGATGACGACGACGACAATGACGACCAACAACGACAAACGTCGACAACAACGACAACGACGAGCGACGACGACAGCGACGACGACGACGACGACTACAAAAACGACGACGACGACGACGACCGACAACCAAGAGCGACGAAACGGGCCAATCGACGTCTCGAAGGGGTTTAAGCGCCCGTGCGCCCCTCAAGGCCGAGGATGCGCGTGCCGAATACGCTGCATCTCCAAGAGGATGATGACAAACACGACGAAGACGACGACGACGACGACGACGACGACGACGATGATGATGAAGATGATGACGATGACGATGACGATGACGATAATGATGTTGGCAACGCCTGTGCAGGAGCCTGTCGCTGTAGAGCATGCCTGAGAAAGCGAGGGCCATGATGATGCCAGCGCCAGAAATGATGCCGCCCGTCCTCGCCACGCCCTGAACTATGCTGTCGCAATCGCCGAGCCCCGAAAGTCGGTACTCGAAGATCCGGCTGACGAGAAAGATGTCGTAATCGATGCCCAAGGCCACGGCGACGCAGACCGCGATCGGGATGGCTTGGTAGCAGATGCCATCAAAGTTGCGAAGCTCTGGACAGATGCCGTGCAGCAGTGGAGTCTGGTAGATCACCGCCGCAACACCGAAGGTGGCGGCCAGAGTGAAGACCAGCGCCCCGCCGAGCCGCAGGGGCAGCAGCAGGCTCCGAAACATGAGCAGCACCAGCCCCCCGCACCCCGCGAGGCACGCTCCTGGCGAACAAAACTGGCTCTCTAACCAGCCTGGAACATATCCCTATCCCTATGCTGGGCATCTCCTCATCACGAAGCCAATCTTAGGGATTCCCTTATTTTTCGAGGGCGAATCCCTAAGATTGTCATCGCCTTTTGGCGTGTCAATCTTAGGGATAGGGATACGTTCGAGGCTGGTAACTCTCTGAATTCCAACAAACCGCTTTGCGTGAACTCGTTAGTTGCACTCAAAAACAAAACCTGCCCATTGAACCCAATCGGGGTTGGACAGACCCCCCTTTCGTAAAACGCGGTTCCGTGAAAACGACCCGAGGCCCAGACCTGGCGGGCGCAGGCCTGGAGAATAACGGCCACGGCGCCCTCTCGAGAACCGAGAACGGACAACTCACCAATCGACGTGTCACTGTTGGGGGTTCTGTCCACCCCCGACTCTCACGTCCAGTCGACAACAGCCCTGCGGAAGACCCGATGCCTGCGAAGCCCTCGCGAGGCCGCTGGGCCCCCTCTCGCAGACGCCCCCCCCTCCCCGTCGCTCGGACGTCCATTTCCCGTGCACTTTTCGGTTTCGTGCGTGTTTTTTGTTTGCTCGATGGTCCAGGATGGTCCTCGATGGTTCTCGCCGATGCCGCTGCTCCCTGCATCTCCCCCCGGGGGCGAGGCCTGACCAGGACTCCGAGAGGCGGATCCCGCCGTGGCCGCGCGCGAGAGAACCCCTATCCCCCCCCCCGCGGGCGGCCCGAGAGAGCGACCCGCGGGAGAGGGGCACCAGCCTCGGTACAGGGCAGGTTTTAATACATGGGATTATTTTCTACATGTATAAACATATATATATATGATCTTAATACATAATACATGATCAATGCATGAACAAATTTATGCACGAACTCATCGTTGCTTTTAATACCCAATCCCTGCATCTTTAATACATGGTCCGCGCGCGGAGCAGGTATCAAAAACGGCACGGTACGACGTGTCTTTCTCCTCCTGGGCTCCGAGGTAGCTGGGCAGCGCCCCCAGCGTCGCGTCGCTGGCGTCGGTCGCGGCGCACGCGCCGCCGCTCAGCGCCGCCCGCCAGCCCGGATGCAGGCCCTCCCAGGCGTGCAGCGCTCCTCGCGTGCCGCAGGGATGGTAGGGAAGATGGCGGGAAGGTAGAAAGGGGGGGGAGCCGGCAAAGCAGAGAGATCATGTGCAGACCGTGCTTCCTCGAGAACGGAAAGAGACTCTCAAATGATGCAGAGCAGACAGCGCAGACTGCAAAGATACGTTACATCTGAACTGGAAATATGAAATGACACGTGAAGGGCGAAGACGGACCATACATGTCGATGTACTTGTTAAGAGGAGACAGCACAAGCAAACAAGACGAGACAGGGAATACCGAAGGTGGAGGAAGAAGGGGTAGCGAAAGTAGAGGGGAGGGAGAGAGAGGAAGGGAAAGGGAGAGGGAGGGAGAGGGAGAGGGAGGGAGAGGGAGAGGGAGAAGGACAGGGAGAGAGAGAGAGAGAGAGAGATCGCACCAGTGCGGACGAGGGTTCGTCCATGCGCCGCGGGGCATTAGGCCCGCGCGGGCCTGCCTCACAAAGCGGGAGACGCCGCGGAACGAACACGGGTGGGGAGCTGCCCTCTCCCCTGGCGCGGTCAGTGCGGCCCCGGCTGGAAAGCAAAGCGGCTGTGGTGAACAGGCCACTCGCGGGGCCCCTCTGCACATCCGAACAACGGGCGGCGGCTGCGGCCGCGCGTTGGCGCGCGCGCCTCGGTGCCTCAAGTCAACCAAGGTGCTGCTTTGGGGCATCCCCCGCAGCATCCCAGTGCTAGAGCTACGAAGAAGTTGCCAGCTGTTCTCGCAGCGCACTCAGAACCTGGAGATGCGAGCACCGGTGCGCAGGCGCAGAGAGAGAGACGGGTAGAGGGGAGGGAGACTAAGCGGGTGTGGGAGAGAGGGAAGGAGAGGGAGGGAAGGAGAGAGGGAGAGGGGGAGACAGAGAGAGAGAGAGAGAGCAGCGGCAGAAGAGACAGAGCACAGTGTGTAGACAGTTGCCAGAGTAAGGAGGGCAGGGGGATGGCAGACCACGAGGGCTAGGGCTTGACGGACGCCGCATAATGCACACGCGGTGGTGAAATCGTCACATGCATCATCATACGGACCATCGCCATGCTCTCTGCCATTGTCGCATGCATGCCCCTGGTCGAGGCATCCCTCTGTGATGTGTCTAGGCGGCGCCCGTCCTCGTGCCCGACGCACCCACTCGTCTGCTCGCGCGCCCCGCGGCAAGAACCGCGTGTGCACCTGCAGCAAGGCCGCCGACCCGTTGACGTGGGTGTCCAAGACCACGTCATACAGACGCCTCGAGGACCCGCTTGGGCACTGCTCAGGGCAGGAGGGCGGCGAGGCAGGAGGGAGCCGCGAGGGAAGGGGCGGCACCCGCTTGCACACGACAGGGAGGGGGGACAGAGAGGCAGGGAAGGCACCTGCCACCACAAGCAGCCGGGTCCCCTCGACGGCCCGCTCGTTCCGCCCCCCCCCCCCCCCCCCCCCCCCCTCTGGGGCCCCCGGGCGCCGACTGCGGATCTCCCCCCGGAAACGGCGCGTGCAGCAGAGGGCCCCCGCGCCCGCGCGACGTGGAGCTGGCCAGGGCGGTGGGCTCGGGCGCCGTGGCCTTCGGTCGGGCACGTCCTCCCGCAAGCGGCTCTCGGACGAAAACCGAAAGACACTCCACAAAAAAAACAGAAAAACCAAACATCACACACAAAATGTCCCCTGGCTATTTCTTGGTTATTTTTGAATATTCCTCTCTGGGCGCCCGAAATGGGCACGGACAAAACGGGCACAATGCCCCACAACACCTGATGTCCCGAACCAGCAACGGCCGCTGTTGCGCAGGCGGCCTTCTGTCTCGGATGGACACAGGCCGCGGCGGCGCGGACAGAGTCCTGCATGACATGAACAGGAACGAAGGATTACAAAAAGGATTGCAAAAAAACCTTCAGTTTTTTTGCAATCCTTCGGTTTTTTTTGCAATCCTTCGTTCTGTTGGGCATCGTACCCGTTCTTTGCGTGCCCATCTCGCTCGTGCAGACTGGGGAGCGGGCCCCGCGGGGGCCCCCTGCGCTGGCCCCGGGGGAGCCGCGCGGACTCCCGTGAGGCGAGGCCTGGATCGGGTCGGGCCTGTCCCCCTCCCTGCAAGGGGGGATCTTGGACGAAAGATCAACAGGAATCAAAGAGTGCACCAGAGAGGTGAAACAATGCTCCAAACATCGGTCCCCCGGCTATTTTTGCACTATTTTTGAGCGTCCCTCCTGTAGAGGGACAGGCCCGATTTCAAGCCAGGACGAGGACAAGCGTCTCCCGTCTCCCTGGTTCTGGAGGGCGCGCTCCGCGACGGGGTGGAGCGTGCAAGGTGGCCCAAGAAGTCTCCAGGAGGGCATCCGATCGCCCAAGATGGCCTCCAAGATCGCACGGCAGAGCCCAAGATGGATCAAGATAGCTTCCAACGCGCCTGCAAGAAGCCCCAGTACCGCCCCAAGACGGTTCCAATTGGCCGCGGAGCCTCCCAAGGACCCCATCGAGATGCCAAAATCCTTCCAAAACCTAAGGGGGATCCATGTGCTCTGTCTTTTCGCACTTTCGCGTCCGGTGGGCTCTTGAGGCCTCGGCTCCAAGAGGCGGCTTTGAGGGCCCCGCCAGGGGGGGGCTGACATAAGCGCCGCCCCATTTTTGTTCGATGGTCTCCAGGACAGCCCCAAGAAGGCCCCCAAGGCCTCCAAGATGTCCTCCAGAGAGCCCCAGCAGGGCCACAAGAGAGCCCCAAGAGAGCCCCGAGAGACCTCAATAGGGCCCCACGATGGCCCCAAGATGCCTCCAAGAAACTCCCAGAGCGTGACTGCATGCTGCTACACATCCCTGATCAGGGCAACTCGCCTGGTGATTGTTTTCAGCTGGGCTGGTGGGAGTACTTTTTTGATCGCGACCGTAGCGACAAATCGCTCGGCGTCCAGTCGACATGCGGCTAACGAGCAGCGGACTAAATTAACCCCTAAGCGCACAGGAGCGAACTACGCTGCGGCGGCTGGTGGGAATACGCAGGGCGTCAAGGATTTCAAGGGGGAGTCCAGCCGTGCCGACCAGGGGGCCCCCAGAGGCCCCAAAGCAGCGACAAACGCCCACAGACTTCCGGCAGCTCTTCGTGCTGAATCTCTGGAGCTCCCAGAGACCGCAAGTCGACCACAACCACATCGAGGACACACCCCCTGGGGGATGCCTTGCGCACGCCAGCAGTCGGCAGAACACCGAAGCCGGCTTAGCACTGGCTGTGGTCGATGCGCCCCAGCGCGGCCAGAGCGACCACGGCCACAACCAGAGCGTGTCGAGGTTGGTGGGCTCTCCCCCGAGGGGGCCCTCCCGAAAAGCCCGCTCGGCTGGGGCTGTGGCCCCACGCTGTACCCCGAGGAGCCTCTGCCAGCGCGGCAGGCGCTTGGAGCGGTCCAGGCCGATCCTCTCGGGCGGGTGGCCAAGCGGGGGTGACCTCAATGGTGGGCCCCATTCAGTCGAGCAGGGGATCACCTGCAGAACAAACACAGTGGAAAAGCACACAAACACACACACACACATACACACACACACACATACACTGTGAGAAAAAACACACTGTGGAACAGAAAAGCTTGTTTGCATGCTGCTTTCATCGATTTACTCCAGGATTGCCATCTGTTCGTCGAGTCTGCAAGGGATGCGCAGGACGCTCAGCAGAGCCACGGAGCATGCTGCCACGGAGCCCACGGAGCCTGCCCGCAGACAGACTCGACGGGAACTGCTCAATGCTGTGGCAGGGCGCTTCTGTGGTCGATCCCCTACCCGATCTGGGGCCCTCTTCCTTGCCCCCCGATTGAGGTCCCAGTTGCCACCTTCGGTGGCAACTCATGGGAGCCTCCCATACCATATCTTCGGCTTGTGCGAATCCACGCCAATCGACGCTGGACGACGCGAACCAACGCTAAATCGACGCCCATCGACGCAAACCGACACGAAATCGGCGCTATCTCATCGACTCCCGGACGCTAGACGCTAGCCGATGCTGAAGACGGAATTCTGGAGGCCTGGAAGTGGGCACCAACACCAACACAGGGGGGGCCTCCACGGGGGGGAGATGATCCTAGATTTCGGTGTTGGTGGCAATACTGCGGCCACCTTGGAAGCCAGAATACGACCACCATCACCGAGATCGGGATCTTCTTCCCTCGGTGGAGGCACACCGCCGATATTGGTGCTGGTGTCAACCTCAAGGCCTGCGAGAATTGCTACTCCAGAGTTTGTAATAAAGGGAGGGGGGTCTCATTTCGGGGGGAGTCTCTTCCAGGCTATCTTGGAGGGCCTGGGGGGTCTGGGGACGATGTTTTGGAGGGTTCTCCCACGGGGGAGGTCTGAAATGGCTTGTCTTGGAGGGTCCAGACCCCCTCCCTTTTATTACGAACTCTGGAGTAATCGACGGACGGACCCCAGGCCATCACATTGTCCTTTCTGCCTGGGTCCGCCAGCCGGCCCCACCCTGTCGCCGAAAACTCCTCCGGCCCTGGCCGAGAACCGAGAGCTCTGCGAGGTACGGGCCCCGCCCTGCCGCCGAGCTCCTCTGCCTCTGGTCGAAGCAAGAGCTCTACAAGGTAATTAGGGGAACAGACAGTGACATAAACGTAAAAACTCGGAGGTCTGCGCGGATTTCTCGGATCGGCGCTGGAGACCCCCCCCCCCTGGCGCGCGGAGCGCGCCAGGGGCGGCGCCGGAGGAGGCGCCGCCGGGGGCCCCAGCGCCGCTCCGAGAAATCCGCGCGGACCTCCGAGTTTTTTAATGTTTATGCCACGTTTCGTGCCCCTAGTAGCTGCCAGGGCACACCAGGCTCCCATGGTTCGCCACCGATGACGAACCAACAACACACACCCATACCCATAGAGGGGTCGGAGAGGGCTATGGGTGCGTGTTGTCGGATGGGGGTCCCCGCTCGAACGGGAGCGGTCCCCAGGGTCCGACAACCCGCCCCCCATACCCATGGCCAGTCCTCCTCCCAGCGACCCCCCTATGGGTATGGGTGTGTGTTGCTCGTTCGTCAACCGAAGCCACTCGGGAGCGGCCAAGAGGCGGGTGTCCAAGAGGGGGGGGTGCAAATCATGACCGGCGGCATGTGCGCGGCCCAGCGGGGGGGCCAGGGACGTAGTGAAACAAGAAGAGGCGCCACGAAATCTGGGGAAATATCATGGCCCCCGCCATGATATCCACCCCCCCCTAGTCCTCACCCCCCTCTTTCCCGCCCCCGAAGCCGCCCGCCCGGTCCTCTCCGTGCCCAGCCACCCCGGGCCGAGCAGCGACCCCACGCCGCCCAGGCCGAGGAGCCCCTCGCCGAGGCCGAGCACGGGGAGCCGGAGAGCACCGCGGGCAGCGGCGCGGGAGAGCCCTCGGGCGGCCCTCCGCCGCTCGCGCAACTGCTTTTGAAAAGGCCCCAGGACACACAAATAAATACACACTCCCCCATATTTTCCTATATAGTTTCTGGGCTTTTGTCTTCCCCCCCACTTCCCCTAGTTTCCCATATTTTTGGGGGGGATCGACGATTCATTGTGTCTGTATGTTTTTTCCCCTCCTGAGCTTTGGACGCCCGAAATGGGTACAGTCGGGGCGTTGACCTAAGGAACCCTAAATGAGGAACGAGGCTCCTTTTTTCCATAACTTAAACTTCGATGTCCCATGGAAAACCTCAGGAAAACCCGAGGCAAACTTTGAAACAACCAAGGAACACCGAGCCCCTCCCCAGCGAAACGGGTTCCTTCTGCAGCGCCCCGACTGTACGAAAAGAATGGGTACAGTGCCCAACGACAAGTGTTGTCGTGGACACTCGAAAGACAGACTCACGAGGACAGGGGCAAGGCTCCCATGCCCTGCTGCCGCAGCTCACGCAAAAGACTCGGGCTCGAGGGCCTCGGGCTGGCCCGACGGGGGCCATCACGAAAGCGTTGGGGCCCCGTCTGAAATCTGAGGCGAGCTCCTGCTGCCAACACCCCACGAAAACGGGACCGACAAACTCCGGGACGCGCTCGTCAACAAGCATAGGCTTAGGTCGGGCGTGTCCTCCTACAGGCGGATCTGGGGCGAAACACGGCAAGTAAACAACACACACACACACTCAAGAATGGCCAAAAGTAGTATTTGAAAAAATGTCCCCAGACTATGTTTCCACCATGCTGGGATATTCCTCCTGTAGACATGCCCGACTCAAGCGGAGGCGAAGCCGAGTGCCCGCGCACCTTCCGCTCGCCCCTCGGCACGCAGGGCAGGGGCCCAGACGCTGGGGGCCCCCGAACCGCGCGGCGACGGGCCGGGCCGCGCGGTGACCTCGCAAAGCCCCGACAGGCCTCACCGCACGGTCCGCCACGTCACTCGGGCCGGGCGAAAGGGGGGGATGGCAAAGGGGGGGGGTCGAGAATCGGCCCACGTGGCTGACTTTCCCGGCGCCGCCCGGCGCCGGAGGCGGCCACGTATCGAGGCCCCTCGGTGGGGCCGAGACCAGCTGCGTGCAGCAGATTTCGCAATCCCCCCCTTTCCCAGTCCCCCCCCTTCTTTGGACGCCCGAAATGGGTACCGAAAGAATGGGTACAATGCCCAACAGCAAATGTTGTCCCAAACCAACAGCGGCCGCTGTTGGGCAGGCGGCCTCCTGTCTCGAATGGACACAGGCCGCGGCGGCGTGGACAGCGAATCCTGTTCAGAATGAACAGGAACTGCTGTTGGACATCGTACCCATTCTTTCCGTGCCCATCTCGGGCGTCCAGACCTTCGTCCGGCCCGAGTCACCACCCACCCCCCCTGGGTGAGTCCGACCTCGGGGGCCCCCCGCCATCCGAGAGGCACGTCCTCTCCCGGGAGAGCGGCCCAGGTCCGCGAAGCTCCGCGGCGAGCGAGGGGGGCGAGAGGAGAGGAGGAGGGGGGGGAGGAGGAGGAGGAGGAGGAGGAGGAGGAGGAGGAGGAGGAGGGAGGAGGAGGAGGAGGAGGAGGAGGAGGAGGAGGAGGAGGAGGACGAGGACGACGAGGAGGAGGAGGAGGAGGAGGAGGAGGAGGAGGAGAAGGAGGAGGAGGAGGAGGAGGAGGAGGAGGAGGGGGAATGAGGGAGGAGGAGGAGGAGGAGGAGGAGGAGGAGGAGGAGAAGGAGGTGGAGGAAGAGGAGGAGGTCTGCTCAGAAGGCTCGGAGGTCCCCCGGCCCTCTGAGTGTTCTGAGCCTTCCCCGAAGACACCGAGAGAGCCTCTCAGAAGGCGTGAGGGCTTCTGAGAGAAGTCCCGCCGCCCTCTGCAAAGGCCTTCTCCCTCTCACTTCCCCCCCTCGCTCGCCGCCGAAAACCGGCGCGGTCACCCCGAATCCCCACTGCCGCACCATACAGGTGTGGTGGGGGCCCCCGACAAGGAGGGCAGCGGGTCCTGGACCCATCAGGCAGGGGAAGGCTGTTGCTTGCGACGCCTGTCGGCCATTCGCCAGCAAGTCGACCGCCGCGGCCGTCGCCGGCGGAAGCCCGGAGGAGATCGGCGGAGACCGGGTCAGGGACCTGCGGCTTGGCGAGGACGTCTCGAGCGAAAGCATTAACTCTGACACTCGATTCGTGAAGATAAGCAGCGAGAAACGGACGGCAAGCTCAGGTAACCTTTTTTATGACACCGCCGGAGACACGTGCCAGAGCCTCCAGAGACCCCCCAGAACCCCCTGCGGGGTCCCAAGAGACCTCCAAGAGGCCCACGAGAGGCCTCCCAGGGGCTGCTCGGAAGATCCCAAGAAGCCTCTAAAGAGGCCTCTTGTCGACGACCCAGGGGTCGACCTCCCCTTACTCGTGTGCAGACGTCGCCTGATGCGTACCGTTTCCTGCACTTCAGCTTCGGCACCGCCTGATCCCAGGGCTTTGCCCTCTCTCGGCCTCGACGTGAGGCCCCGCCTTCTTTTGCCCCCCCTCTGCGAATTTAAGCTGTGCGCGGCCCGCTTAGCTTCTTCTTCTTCTTCTTCTCTCCTCCTCCTCCTCCTCCTCCTCCTCCTCCTCCTCCTCCTCCTCCTCCTCCTCCTCAGATCAAAAAAGTGCAGACGTCGCCGCGCCGTTTGCCCTCGACCACACCGAGGCGCGATCCCGTGGCTGCGCGACCTCGTAAATTCGTGGCCGCGCCCCGCGCGGGGCAGCCCCGCAGAGCCGCGCTGCATCCGCGGCGCCGCGGCCGAGGAGCCCGGCTCCCGAGGCCGTGGCCATCGGTACAGGGCAGTTTTTAATGCATGGGATTGTTTGTTTTTTAACAAAAAACAAAAAAACTTTATGGATACATGTATGCCTGAACTCATCGTTGTCTTTCATACTCAATCCCTGCATTTCTGATACACGATCCGCACGCGAGCACGTATTGATAACGGCACTGTACGCCCCCCGCGCGCAAAGAGGAGGGACCCCGGACCCCGGCTGCGTTGCGCCGTCTGGCTCTCCGGATCATGGAGTCGTAGCCGTCGCGATCCAGCAGAGGCGCGGCGTCGGCGACCACCACCACGGCGTAGGGGTCGAACCGCCCCACCACGAAATCCGGCTGCAGCCGCCGCAGCGCGGCGATGCTCGGCGCGTCGGGGACCGTCGCGTAGAGGTCTGCGCTCGCCTGGGCGAGGCTTGCCCGGACCCCCAGCGAGGAGGAGGGAGGAGGGTGGAGGAGGGAGGAGGAGGAGGAGGAGGAGGAGGAGGAGGAGGAGGAGGAGGAGGAGGAGGAGGAGTGGCGTCAGGAGATCGATCCTGGGCCCGGGGATCCTCAAACGACTCCTCGGGATGAAGCGCTGTCCCCCCTGGGGAAGGGGCCGAGAGCTCCCGCGGCCGGCGCCTCGGAAAAAAATGAGGCCACTGGAGGCTGGGGCAGAAGCGACACACAGCCCACGAACCATCGAAGCACGTGCCCGTGGAGGTCTCCCTCTTCCGTCCCCCCTTGCCGATCCCAAGCCGACGCACGTCCGGGGAGCGAGCGTGTTCTGTTTCGGCGTCTCGACAGTGGGCGGAAGGGGGGAGGGGGGGGGGTCTGGCTTCGGACCTCTGCTTCATGCGACTGTTTGCACCAGTGCATCCTATGGGGGAGACTCCACCTGCTCGAAGCAGGCGCCGAAAGCAGCCAAGATCTACTGCATGGGGGAGGGGGGGGGGCGGCGAGGGCCCGCGCCGATCGGCAAAACAATGAATGAGAAAACGATCACATTCTGTTCCCCTGGCCCTGGGAGCAGCAATACTTTCATTCGAGGAGTTTGCGCTGCTTGCGAGGAGCTCGTGAAGCGTCGTGGACCCGCCAGGCCTGAGCAGCGTGGTGATGGGTCGGTCCTGGACGTGCCTTCAGCAAACAAAACAATTGTTGAACACGTGCGTCTATAGAAAACAAACGCCTCCGACATGGTGCCTCCTGACGCCTCAAATATGCGCTTGGGGGCGCAACAAACAACGAGCCATGGCCATGCTCCTGGATGGCGTCCCGACGGCCCCCTGGAAAGGCCGAGGTAGCCCCAGATCTCCCCAAGGCAAAAGGCCTCCCAGAGCTTAGAGGCTTCCTGAGAGCGAATTCCCTGCCCTGAACACCGGCGAACTCTGCCAGTGGGCCCACGACAGACCTGAGAGGTTCTCCGAAACGGCCCAAGGAAAAGCCAAGACGGGAAAAAACCCGCCCCAAGATGGGCTCCAGACGGTGTAAGGTGGCCCAGGACGACCTCCGCGGGCGCCTGCAGCGATTGGGATACCGCAAGGCTGCTCACAGATGCACCGCAGAGGATCCCACATGCCTCGGACACGAGCTGCAACTGCTTCCGTATGTCTCGACGATGCCTTTTCAGCGCTCACGAGCGTCGTGCTCCGAGAAGCTCGTGCGCGCCCACGGCCTCGCGGCCCAGCTCGCCAGTCGCGACTGCGCGTCCTCGGCGGGATGGCGGTCCAGGCCCTGCGCCCACAGCCAGGGGCTGCTCGCTGCTGGCGCGGGTGCGCCGTCTGCCCTCGACGCCGGCGGGCTGCCCGCGCGCTGGAGGCCAGGTCCCGCGGGCCAGCAGCCCGCGGCGGCCACCTCCCTGGGCGCCGCGGCGCGCGAGGCGACGCGCGAGTCGCGCCACCACGGGCCTCGGGCGCCACTCGCCGGGCGGCCCGCCCAGCCGCCCCCTGCGGCGCGCCCTGCCGGTGGCGCCGGGCCCGGGCCCGGCCGCTGCGCCAGGTGCGGCCCCGTGCCCAGGGTGGCCTGCGCCTCCACCCAGGCCCATGGCCCGCTGGCCCATGCACCCACCTGCGGCGCCCACGGGCGGGGCTCCTCGTAGAGCCGCGCGGAGGCCGCAGGCGCTGCTGCCGCCGACAGGCCCTGGGGCCGCGGGGAGGCCTCAGGCGACGACGGCGGGCACCAGCTGCGGTCCTGGAAGCGCGGGGACGCCGTGGGCGAGACCAGCGGGCCCTGGGCCGACGTGACCTGGAGCCCTGGGGAAACTGCTGGCGACGCGGGCCGGCCCCCGGCGGACGCAGCCCCGCGCCGCCACGGCGAGGCCGCAGGGACCACTGGCGGGCCACGTGCCGACAGGGCCTGGAACGGTGACAGGCTCCGTGGGGAGCCCGAGGGCGATGCGCAGAAGAAGGGAAGCCGCCACAAACCCCAGCTTCTGGCGCTCCGCGCGGACTTCTTGGACCCGCGCCGGACCCCCCCCCTCCCCGACGCGCGGAGCGCGCGACAGGGGCGGCGCGCCGGAGGCGCCGCGTGGGGGGGGGGGCCCAGCGTGGATCCCAGAAAGCCGCGCGGAGCGCCAAAGGTCGATGTGCATGGCGTCTCTCCTTCTTCGAATGCGGCGCAGAAGCCCTGGAACCGCGGGGAGCTCGCGGGCGAGGCCGGCCGGCAGCCGTCTGGCCAGGGCACGGGCGCCGGGCGACCAGCGGCCCAGGGCGACGCCGCTGGGCTGCGGCCTGCACGGCGGCTGCGGTACCACTCCTGATGGGCCTGTTCTCCACCACCACCACCACCACCACGAGAAGATGGAGGGGGGCAGGAGGTGGCGGCCGAGGAGGAGGAGGACGAGGACGACGAGGAGGAGGAGGAGGAGGAGGAGGAGGAGGAGGAGGAGGAGGAGGAGGAGGAGGGGGAGGAGGGGGAGGAGGACCCCCTCTCCCCCTCCCACTTGTGGTGGCGGTGGCGGCAGAACAGGCCCATCGACTCCAGCCGCTGGTCGAGCGACAGGAACTCCGGGCAGAGCTCGCCCTCGCCGAGGCGGCGCCCGCCCGCCAGCGGGCCGCGGGGCGAGGCAGCACGCCCAGGGGCCGCAGGGCGCAGGCCCGGCCCCCACGGGGCAGCTGCGGGGCTCCACCGCCGCGGCGGCGCGAGGCCACGCGGCGCGCCAGGGCTGCAGGACCTGTTCACGGGGGTGGCCGGAAGGCACCGGCGCCGCTGCTCCGCGGGCGTCTCGCGCGGGGTGCGTTCGGACCAGGTGGTCGAGACGAGTCCGGCCGTGGCGACGGCACACGCCGGTCGGAAGAAGTGGGTAAAAGCATGAAGCAGGAAGGCGTTGGAAGTAGATTGGGCTTCCGCCCGCTCCCTGAAGATGAGGGAAGAAGGGAACCAGTCGATCCTTGACGAAGGAGGGCGCCAAAAGAGGACTAGGACCTGGAAATCCAAAAATACCTACTTTCAGCGACTGGCGTGTAGCGTTACCCTCTCCTCCTCCGAACCTCGACGAAGAGCAGGACGCGGGGCCGCGGTCTCTGCTGCCTGGCGAGCTGCCCGGGATGCTCCAGCCTTAGGGGCAACGACCGGGGGGGACTGGCATAGGGGGGGACACATCGACCTGAAATCGCAATATACCGACGATAGATTTGAGATACGCCCCGATCCTGAATCCGTACGCTCCTGGGCAGGCTGGGCTATCGGGCCCCTATCGGCGATCAATGGGTGATTGGGGGTCGATGCATCCCCCCCTGTGCATCCCCCCCCTAGAGCTGCCCCTGTATGGCATGGGGAGAGCGGGTCCTGAGGACAACGGGCCCTGGGGCCTTCCCCCAGCACGAGGTCTCCATCCCGAGGCGTTCTCTTACAGCCCCGGGGCCCGTGGAGAGGGGCCCAAGAGCCCGAGATCGGCGAGAGAAGCCTCGGGCCCTGTCTCCATCAAGGCATGCTGCATCCTCGGGGGGGGCCTGCCTGCCCCGTCACGGCCCCATCCGCGCCGAATCCGTGCCGAAGGCACGTCGGCCTCGCCGCATCCGTGCCGACTCCGTGCCGAAGCCGCGTCGGGCCCACGCCAGAGCCGCGTCGAGGCCGCGCAGCGAGCCCGCGGCGGGGCCCAGGAGGAGACACACATCTCGGGGGGCAGGCGAGGCCCTCCCGGAGGTGCAACGCAACTCGGGGGGGCGGCCAAGAGGGGGGCGTCCAAGGGGCTTGGACGCCCGAAGATCGTAGGAGTCGTCCCAAGACTAGAGTTGTTGAACTATCTGTTGGCTCCTCCTCCTCATCCTCCTCCTCCTCCTCCTCCTCCTCCTCCTCCTCCTCCTCCTCCTCCTCCCGAATAGAGGGACACGCCCGACTTAAATATGAGCCGCCCCCGAGCTATCAGGGGACCCGCTTCCCCCCCTGTTTGGACGCCCGAAATGGGTACGGAAAAGTGGGTACAATGCCCAAAAACAAATGCTGTCCCAAACCAGCAGCGGCCGCTGTTGGGCAGGCGGCCTTCTGTCTCGAATGGACATGGGCCGCGGCGGTGTGGACAGCGAGTCCTGTTCTCAAAATGAACAGGAACTGCAGTTGGGCATCATAACCACTCTTTTCCCACACGTCGTTGATTTCCAATCGTGTTCATTTCTAACTGCGCTCGTCTCTACTTGCTCCTGGCCCCCTGGTGGCCAGGAACGGGCCCAGGACAGAACAATCAGAAATGAAAGGATATTGGCCCCCCTCCGAGGGGAAAAGAAGAAACAAAAAAAAAATCAAATAATCAGGAATGCGCGACGTGTACCCACTCCGATCGCCCCGACCCCTGGCGAGCTCCAGCCGTCGGCCCCGTCGCGCGCCGCAGGGCGGCCGCGGCCGGCGCCGCTCGCCCGCGGCGACAGGTCGCCGCGGCCGCCCGGCGCCGGGCTCCGCGCCGCGCCTGGCGCCGGGCGGGCCCGCGGCGCGGGGCCGGCGGCCGCGCCGAGGGCCGCCCGGGAGGCCCCACCTGCGACGAACGAACAACACACACCCATACCCATAGAGGGGTCGTTGGGAGGAGGGCTGGCTACTGTATGGGTATCGGTGCGGGTGGTCGGATCCTGGGGAACGCTCCCGTATTCGAGCGGGGACCCCCCTCCGACAACACGCACCCATAGCCCTCTCCGACCCCCCCATGGGCATGGGTGTGTGTTGTTGGTTCGTCAACCTGGGAGGGCGCCGGCTGCCCATGACCCCCTCGGGTCGTGAGACATCGCGGCAGTTCTGTGCCCAGACGTCCTCGTGAAAACATCAGGGCGGGATGACTTTTGCCATGTGCGACCCCTGGGGGGCCCTCGCCGGCCCCCGGGAGCGTCAAGAAACGGCGCAGGACAAAAAACCGGCCCCGGGGAAAGGGTCGGGACTTCCAGGGACGCCGTCCTGAAAAAAAACACGGACGTCGCATGTCCGGGTTGCTCCCATCGCGCTCATGGACCACATCCCAGAAACTTCTTCGAGCACCCAATTTTTTAATATATCTATATATATATATATATGTGTATACAAGACTGCAGTGGCGCTTCGCGCCATGCACCTTGGTCCTTGAAGTTTGGTATGCAGGCGGAATGGCAGGAAGGTCAAGCCGACAATTTAGCGATAACTCCTGGTTGCCTTTTCCGGCATTGCCGCTATAATGATGTTGTTCGTTTTCCTTCCTCCATGGTTATTGTTCTTTATTTTCGCCATACCCTGCGCATTCTCCCCATCCTCCTCAGCTCTTTCTTGCGGAGGCTCCTCCTTGGAGAGCCTCTAGGGGCCTCACAAAAGTTGTTTCGGGCTTTCTTAAGGCCTTCTGGAGGCCTCCTGGGCGTATTCTGGGGGCCTCTGGGAGCTTCCTCGGGCCACCCTGCCTCCAACCGCCGTCTCCCTGAACGACCGAATCACGATTTGGAATTCTTCGGAGGGTGTCTTTGGGCCATCTTGGGCCTCCATGGGGCTCTCTGAGGGCCATCTTGGACCCGTGTTGTGTCGTTTTGGGGCTCTCTTGGACTGCCTGGAAGCCCTTTCGGATGGTTGTGGGGCGATTTAGGAGCCTCCCAGGCGGCTTCGGACGCCCAGAAGACCGTCGTCTTGGAGCGTCGGGGAGCCAAAAAGAGGAGAACCCCAAAATTCACCAAAAACCTACAGAAAATCAATGATTTTGCCTCGGGGGGCCTTCTTGGGAGTGCTCTTGGATGCCTCTTTGGGGCCGTCCTGGAGGCCTCTTGGGCCATCTTGAGGTCACGTCGGTCACTCTTGGAGCGCTCTTGTGCTGTCTTGGGGGTCTCTGGGACGTCTCCGATGACCCCCCTGATCGCCCTAAGTGTGCTGGGAAGGCTTGGCAAAACGCCTTGCGAGGCCCGGTGGCCGCTTCGAGGCCCGTCCGGAGGGCCCCAAAGCGCCAGGTCCCGGGAGTCCAGTTTTTTTTTGGGGGGGACGGGTTTTCCCCCCGCCCGGGCTTATGAAAATATAGGAAGAGGAATACATACATACATACATACATACATACATACAGACAGACAGACAGACAGACAGACAGACAGACAGACAGACAGACAGACAGACAGACAGACAGACAGACAGACAGACAGACATACATGCATGCATGCATGCATACATGCATGCATGCATGCATGCATAGATACATACATACATACATACATACATACATACATATATACATATATATATATATATATATATACATGCATACATACATACATACATACATACATACATACATACATACATACATATACATACATACATACATACATGCATACATACATACATACATACATACATACATACATACATATACATACATACATACATACATACATACATACATACATACATACATACATATATACATACATACATACATACATACATACATACATACATGCATGCATACATACATTCATACATCCATAGCTACGTTCGTACGTACGTACGTACGTACGTACATACATACATACATACATACATGTCTATAAATATGTGTGAGAGAGTACACAGCGTGGTGGGAACCAGCTGTTTAAACCTCACGCAGACGATAAGACGATAAGACGATAAGACGACTTAAGACGATAAGACGACAAGACGAGAAAAGGGCAGCGGACGATGAAACGCTAAGACGATAAGACGACATGGAGACTCACCAGACGATAAGACGATAAAAAGGGCCACATCAGACGATAAGACGATAATACGGTAAGATCAGTTTATCGCCTTATCGTCTTATCGTATGATGACGATGGCAAGGACGATCGCGAGGACGATGATGATGGTGATGGTAGCGAGGATGTGTCAGGCGAGAGTGGCCTGACCACCTCAGCTCAAGGCGCGTCAGAACCCAGAGTTGCGAGGATGTCACAGGCGAAAGCGGCCGGACCACCAGGGGGAAGGGCATCTCGGAATCCATAGTTGCGAGGATGTTTCAGGCGAAGGTGGCCAGATCACCTCAAATCAAAACATATCGGATCCCAGAGCGCCGAGGATCTCACGCGAAATTGGCGAGAACTCTTTGAGGAACGCACATTGGAACCTGGAGTAGTGAGGATGTCCCAGGCGAGACTGCCCAGATCATCACAAGTCGTGGCATATGGGGACCCAGACATGGAGGATGTCTCACGCAAAACGGGCCTCCTCCTCCTCCTCCTCCTCCTCCTCCTCCTCCTCCTCCTCCTCCTCCTCGCCCCCTTGTTCCTCCTCCTGCTCCTCATCATATTCCTCCCGCCTCCTCCGCCCTCCCCTGGTGTCTGATTAATTTCCCCTGCCTCCTCGTCCTCTTTCCCCTTTTCCTCCTCCTTGTCATCCTCTTCTTCCTCCTCCTCCTCCTCCTCCTCCTCCTCCTCCTCCTCCTCCTCCTCCTCCGCCTCCTCCTTGTCCTCCTCCTTCTCCTCCTCCTCCGCCTCCTCCTCCTCCTCCGCCGGCCGAACAGAGGCGGCGGGCGGGCCGGCCGAGCCGGGGACGACGAGGGCGACGACGACGACGACCTCCACGCACACTCAGCACGCACACGAAGTGTCAGCTGGGGGCCTCCGGAAGGCTCTGGTGGCCAGCAAAAGGCCAAGAATTTCCAAAGCCTCGATCCTCGAACCTCGATCCATGCACCTACAAGCGAAGGCGGCGGCGGCGACGGGGACGGCGGCGGCGTCGACGACAACGACGGACAACCTCCGATCCGACCACGACGACGACGACGACGACGGCGACGACGACGACGACGACGACGAAGACGACGGACGACGCTTTGAAATAGCAACCCCTATTTCCCACCACAATGTATATATCTATAGTTATACATATATATATATATATATATACAGGACTGCATTGGCGCTGCGCGCCATGCACCTTGGTCCTTTGAGTTCTGCACGCCAGCGGAATGCGTGCGTGCGTACATGCGCGCATGCATGTATACACGCGCACGTGCATGCACATTCCGTATACATGTCAAGGTGTATACACTATAGGTACATTGTTGCAAGTGTGTATAAATAGCGTACATCTGTACATCTAAATTTATGTGTGTAAGGGTATGAACATGCATATGCAACTCGTACGGGGCATCCTCGAGCATCTTCGCTGCATGCCACGAGACCCTCAACGACTGGGTCACAATGTGAAATGTCATGGGAGCAAAATCAATGAATGTTGGTATTCGGAAACATCGTGGGGGTGTTTTCGGGGCCCTCGTGGGCCGTTTTGGCGCCTTCATGGGCCGTCCTGGGGCCTTCGTGGGCCGTCTTGGGGAGCTTGGGCCCGCTGGAGGCCCCTTTGGACCCATCTTGGGCACTTCCGGGGACCTCCCATGGCCCTTTTGGGTCTGTGCTGGGAGCCCCTGGGGGGCCTCTTGGGCCCAGTATGGGCTGTCTTGGGGCTCTCGTGGGCGATCGTGGGGCCCGGCTCGGCCGTCTTGAAGCTTTCGTGGGGGCCTCTTGGGGCGTCCTGAGGCGATCTCGGGGGCTTTGAAGCCGTCTTGGAAGCTGATGAAAACCGAAAGGCGAATATGCTGAAATTGTATGTTTTACGAAAGGAATGGGATGGTTTCTGCGTTTTGAAAGCCTCTTGGAAAGCTTTTTGGGGTGCCTTGGGAGTCTTTTGGGCCGTCCTGAAGCAATTGAAGTCCCTCTTGGAGCGCTCTTGTGCTGTCTGGGGCCTCCCTTGAGCCTCTCTGATGACCCCTCTGATCGCTCTGGGTCTGCTGGCAAGGCGTTTGTGGAGGCCCGGAAAGCCGGGTGACTTTTTCCAAGGACGTCCCAGGGAGCCCGAATACCCCAGATCCCGGGGATCCAGTTTTGGGGGGGGGGGACGGGTTTCCCCCCCCCCCCCCCCGGGCTTGTAAAAATATAGGAAGAGGAATATACATATATTTATCTCTGTGTCCCCTTTCCCCGTCTCTCTCCTTTTTACTCCTCTCACCAGAGGTTTTGTGCTACAGGGGGGCTGCCAGCGGAGACCCCCCCATGTCCTCCGGGGACTCCGAAGCCTGGCCAGGGGCGGCAGCGCGACGCGAGTCCGACCCCTCGGAGTTGACCGGGAGCGGCAGCGCGACGCGAGTCCGAACCCCCTCGGGTGAGGGCGGCAGCGCTCGACGCGAGTCCGAACCCCCCCCGGGACCCCTTTCCCCGGCACTCCTGCTGGGATGGCGTCAGCACATCCTCAGATGGCTCGCAATCGGCACATCTTTCAGCCAACTCGGCTTGGGCAGGGTTACAGGGCGGGGCCGAGGCGGCTACGGAGAGGCGGTTTAGAGGAGATCGTTTCGAGGACGGAGGGGGGACGAGATAAAACCCATGAGAATCTCAAGGATATTTATCTCTGTGTCCCCTTTCCCCGTCTCTCTCCTTTTTACTCCTCTCACCAGAGGTTTTGTGCTACAGGGGGGCTGCCAGCGGAGACCCCCCCCATGTCCTCCGGGGACTCCGAAGCCTGGCCAGGGGCGGCAGCGCGACGCGAGTCCGACCCCTCGGAGTTGACCGGGAGCGGCAGCGCGACGCGAGTCCGAACCCCCTCGGGTGAGGGCGGCAGCGCTCGACGCGAGTCCGAACCCCCCCCGGGACCCCTTTCCATGCACCCCTTTCTGGTTAACCGCCATTAATCCCCAGGGACGGGTGGGAGGGTCAGGAAAATGCTGACAGCGAAGCTGCTCAGATATTTTGCTCCTTCTTTTCATCTCAACCCACATCAAAGTTAAGAGCACTCGCCAGTACACGAAATCGTTCCAATTCTGCAGGCAAGAAATCGTTCTGCAGCAAAGTTTGCACACCGTCACTGATGTACAGTCTGGCCACAGCTGTGTCTTGCCATCTCCCCACTATCAAAGTCAAGCCCATGTTCTCGAACCTTCTGTAATGAGTGGTGGCACCTCCACGGCGTAAAGAATATATCTGATAACCGTGCCGCTCGAGGTTCAATGACCTCAAGAGAGCTTTGAACACATCACGAAATTCGGGCACGGTGCCCTGCAGCAACGAGCTCTCAGGCGGCAAATGCTGAGTGAGCACTTTGATGAAGTGAACAATCCTGGCGTCGTGGAGTGTGACGGACTCCTCACAGTGTCGTCTCTTGCCTGCCTTGGTCACTGGCAGGGCTATGACAAGGCTGAGGCCGTCGTTGCTGAACTGCAGCTGCCACTTACGGAGAGTAAGAAGCTCCATTGTACGCAAGAATACGGAGTAGCCAATCACAAGCAGCACCGCTATGTCATTTCGACTCCAGGATCGAGCCACCGTGGCAAGTGACATCAGCACATATTCTGGCATGGGTGGTGCTCTTTGTGGCATCTCAGTCCGTTGCCAAGCCTTCAGCAGGTTCCACGCACTGTGAAAGACTCTCTTGCGTCGCAAGAAAAACTGTACGCCAGACAAGGTGGCCCCAGCATCTCCAGCAGGCCTCCCATGCGCCCATAGCGTCTCTATCCATTCACATAATTGGAAGTCGAGCTGCTCCAGGTCAGTGGCCACGTCGATACCATGGGCACGAATCCAAGAGACAAAGCTTTGCACCATCTGACCATATCTGCGAAACGTACGAGGTTGAACTAGTGTGTGTGATAATCTGCCAATCGCGCGTCGCACCCGAATGCGGGACACCAAGTCTATCTCATAGTCAATGCGACGCTTCCTTGGCATTGCTGTCACCTGACATGCCGCCTTCCCTCGAAGGGTCGTCGGCTGGGTTCTTGTCGGTCTCGGTGTACCCGTAGATCGGTCTTGCCGACGCCGCCAGGACCAGAGCTGAGATCCTCTTGACGGCTGCGTTGAGCAGATGCGAGGAGGAGCGCCCCCGCGATATCACACCAAGTCCAACCTGCGAATCCATCAGATGAGCGAACCTCGTGCCAAGGTGATGGCCCACTCTGAAGCGCCAGCGAAGGCCTGCCAGCGCGCTCAGCACTTCCAGCGCCGTGATGTGGCTCTTCCACCTCCACTTCCAGACCAGCACTGTCTTCCACGTCCAGCGGCTCACGCTGATCGGGCGGCGTGGCCACAAGTCAGGGCGCATGACCTCCAGCGTGTCGAGGCGCACGTCCGAGCCCCTCACCTCAGCTCGCCGGATCAGCTCCTCCACGATCTGGATGCTCGGGTCCGCCTGCGCCTCGGCCTCTTCAAGGCCACGGTCCCTGATCACCACCCCGCTGTCGTCGCCCTCCTTGGCAACCTGCACCAGGCCCTCGGCAGCGTCGAAGGCGCCTCCGACCGCGCGCGCCTCCGCCATCGTGGGGACCGAGTCCAGGTAGCCGCGTCGGTGAGCCCAGTGCGCCACTATCCATGCCACCACGCCGCACTGGAACGAGTTGCCCAGCAGGGCGCAACGTACCACCTCGAGCTCAGCCAGCTTGCGGAACCGCGTGGCCCGCGCTGTCGCCGTGTGCCCAGGTGGGAAGTCCATCAACATCTCTCTCTCAAAGGAATCCGCAGGCTCCAGCGCACCTCCTTGCCATCGCAGACAGTGAGGATCTCGAAACTGGTACGGCGCATAGCAGAAGTCGTGCCTCCGCCAACGCTCCAGCTCGGCCTCGCTGCACTGGTGCAGGCCCTTTGGCTTGTCGCCGGCACGCCCGCGCGGGATGCACCTCACGAAGGTGGGCAGACGCTGCTCAGGAACCTCGGCTCCTGACCACTCTCGCCCAGGGCGCAGCCAGCGGCCCAGCGGGCCTGGACCTCCAGGGATCGTCACTTTCACCACCTCACTTTTCACACAGACTTCGCCCTGCCACGGCGTCATGAGGTCGGTGTCACACCAGTAGAGCCTCTCTCGGCGAACGTGTGAGATGTCGGCGGCATCGATCATCACCGGGGCCAGCCCCATGTGCTCTGACATCGTGTCGCGATCCTCGGCCGTCATGGAGGACACATTCTCGATCAAGTCGAACACCTCGACCTCCACGGGGAACACCTCCTTCACCAGCGACTTCACCCGCTTGATCTCGTAGAAAAGGCCCGACCTCGCTCCTGACAGCCCTCGCCTGTCGACGCTCAGCCTGGTGAGGTCCACGCAGGGAGCTCCAGCAAACAGGAGGACCCAGCGCACATGAGGGGCCCTGTCTCGGATCTTGGCGATGTCCTGCGCGCTCAGCTTCGTGACGTCGCCCAGCTCCACCACGTCCGGCCACGCGTACTTCACCACGCGGCAGGCCTCTGGGTCCGTCTCCGACGCAGCATACACGGCCACGCTCAGCCCCAGCATGTCGAGGGCCCGTCTTCCACCTCCGATCCCGTCGAAGAGCGACAGCAGCACGCCCTCGTCCTGCAGCCGCCCCACCTGGCGCCTGCGAGAAGCCTTGGCTGCCTCAACGCCGTGTGGGAGCAGGCGCACAGCCCGGCATACCGCCCCCTTGCGCATGCTGGCGTCGGACACGGTCACGAGCCCGCTCACGGGCGTCCTGAGGTCGCACCTCATGAGCGGCAGGAGCCCCACGGCCAGCAGCAGCTCCCTCTGAACGGGAGCGGGCAGCCTGCGCTCGCCTCTCCAGCGCACCACGGCACGCCACAGGTCGTCGAACACGGACATCGTCTCACGCCTGAACATCATCGCTCGCACCCAGCGGCCCGCCACCACCTGCAGCCAAGTCTGAGTCAGCACATTCCGATCCAGCGTGGCGAAGGTGAGGCCCAGCAGACGGTACACGAACTCCAGGGGCGGGCTGATCACGCCCCTCGTGCCGTCAATGAGCTCACCCAAAACTTGACTGACAGGCTCACGGCACACTGCCTTATCCTCGCTCCTGGGCACCCCCCGCTGCGCGTACCTCTCGCAAGCCAGCTGCACCACCTCGGGGGGGCCCTGTGCCTTCAGCGCCGCCGCGGAGACCTCGTCGGTAACCTCCAGCACGTCAAGGTTGTCGATGTACACCTGCCACACCACCCAGCAGGCCGTACCAGCACCCTCCGGTATGAGCGTGTCATCTCCTCTCGTCGCCTTCGGCACCGTCTCCGCCCACATCTTGACCAGCACGTCCCCGTGGCAGCGCTGCCCTCGCCTGCAGTGGCACAGGAGGCGACAGCCCGAGAGCTCGGGCAAGCAGGCCAGCAGATCGGGCGAGTCGCGCAGGTGGCTCTCGTAATTCGCGATGGCCTCGCTCCTCGGCATCATCTTTGACACCTTGAAGGGGTTCGCCCACTTGGATGGGGAGAAGCCATACCGCTGCCCTGTGCGACCGATGTACACCTGTGGGCGCTCGTCGCTGTAGGATCGGCCCAGCTCGCCTCGCACCGGCAGCCTCGCCTCGCCCTGAGAGACCACCGAGCCTCTCTCACGATGTGGAGGCAGAGGAAGGTCGCGCCGCAATTCACGGTCCTCAGGCAGCGGAGGCACTCCCTCCAGCCACTCACGAAGCAGCCGCCGGTGGATGTGCTGGATGATGCCTGTCGCCGACACCCAGCCCATTGGGATCACGGCCGCGGCCACGTGCACCTCGCCGGCCCCGTCAAGACCGAGGCAGGACCTGCTCACCTTCTTGGAGAGCGCCATGTACTTGTGCCACACCGCGGGCAACCGGTACACGTAGAAGCAGCACTTGAGGTCCTCCGACGAGCTCATCATCACCTCGCCGCTCCTCAGGATGATGCTCTTCCACTTGTCTGTCGTCGGGAGGAGACCCATGTCCCCCTGGACCGTCTCCTGCAACCAGTTGCTCGGGATGATGTTCATCACTAGCCGCTGCGGCCCCGAGCCTTTGACGCGTCCCGACTTTCGTACACCAAAGAGGCCGCCCAGCACGCGACGGCCCTTGACCTTCACGATCTCGTCGGCCTCGATCGGGACGAGGATGCCCCTGTTCACGAGCTCGGCCGCGATGAGCCCCCACTCGTCATCCTCGGCCCAGACGCGCGGGGTCTTGGGCATCTCGCCCAGCTCCGCGGGGCTCTTCATCACCCACTCCGGGTGCTCCAGCACGCTCCTGATCCAGCCTTCGCTCACCTCGGTCGCCAATACCGAGCCGCAAGCCTCCTTCGACGGCAGGGCGAGCAAGAGGCGCTCGCGGTCTAGCTGCTCGGCTGGGTACACCTCCATGCCCGTGTAGCTCACTGCCGACGACTTCAGCTCCTGGGTCCAGTCGAGGTTCGCCACGGAGCCCTCGTACTGGCATAGGAACGTGCCCACACTCCTGGCCAGCAACCTCAGGGCCTTCAGCTGCACCGCGCTGGCGGGCCCGTGCCTTACCTTCCAGGGGGCCATCTTGAGACCAGGATGCTTGCCCCCCAGCGCGTACTGGAAGTTCAGGCTCAGGACAGTGAGCTTCAGCCAGCCGTTCAGGTCGTCCTCGAAGGAGGGATCGACTGGCTCCGATTCGCCGAACACAACGCCGTTCATGCTCAACTCCTCGATCGTCAGATCGACGCAGGGCAACGGCAGCAGGTCACGCCGTCCGTTCCCTGCGGTCAGTGGTGAGAGGATATCATCGTACGATTTCGCATCAAAATTGCCAAGTGCCCCGCTCGACGCGGGCGAAGAAGTACTGAGGTCAGCTAGACGGCGTCCCACAACACGAACTGGAGCTCCACAGAGACTGCCCAGCTCACTGGCGGCACGCGTCGGGTTCAAGTAAGGAAAGTCGTGAATTCGCGTGGACGGCTCGTCCGAGACTGCGCCATGAGCGGCGCCGTTGCACTCATCCTCAAGGTACGAGGAGAAGGTGATCTCGGACTCCCAGCTGCCGTCGGACGTGCAGTCACACGCCTCTCGAGTGCCCTCGAAGCTCATGCATTCTACTTCCGATTCTTGTTGGACCTCTTGCCCTGGCCCTTGTCCTTGCCCTTGCCACGGGCCTGACCCTTCGTGCCGCCCTTGCCCTTCGGGTTCCACGAGCGCCAAGGTGGCGTCCCGCGGTGCTGCCCTTTGTCGCCCTTCGGCTTGCCCTTGTTGCCAGCCTTCGCCTCCGCGGTCACGTCGTCCGCGAACCTCACGCGACGAACAGGGCTCGAGGGTCTCCGAAGGGCCGGCTTGCGATCCACTCCAGGGCTGATCGAGCCAGGTGCTGGCCGCCAGTGGGGCGACGGGCTTCTCGGGCTCCCCGATCTCTCGCCAGCACCTGTCCCGGCTGCCGGGCTCGGCGACGCTCTCTTCACTGCCTCGCCAGCGTCCCCTCGACCGCGACCTCGCCCTCGGCCGCGTCCACGCCAGAGCTTCGCCCTCCACCTGTCCTTCCTCGATCCGGGCGTCGGCGCATCCTTCTCCCCCTGTGCTCCAGGACTCGATGTCTGTGGGGGCGGCGTCGCGGGAGAGGGCGTCCTGGTGCGCCCGCCCTCTCCCTCGCCGAATCCCTAGGGGGGCCTCCTCGCGCCCGCTCGAGTGAGGCGCTCCTTCAACTTCGCACCCTCCGAGTAGGATGCCACGGCCGCCGACACCTCGGCGCTGCTGGCCAGCCCGATGTCGGTGGAGTCGATCAGCTCGAGGTGCTCGGCTATCTTCCAGTGCCCGTCCTTGGTGGCCTGCTCGATGGCCTTCAGCCTCTGCATGAGCATGTCGCCCAGCTGCGGCAGATCGCCCCTCGTGAGGGCGTCCAGGCACTCCCCGATCATCCTCATCTCGCGCACATTCCGCACCCCCATCTCGTTCTGAGGGTGCATGCCGTGCCACACGCTCGTGATATACTGCACCACGTTGGACGCCATCCTATCCAGCTCATCATCGTTGTCGGCCCCGCCCCGCTGCGCCAAGTACTCTCGGATCTGCTTCAGACCCGCCGCCATGAGCGCCCCGGGGTCGGAGCGGGCCAGCTTCTGCACTCGGCGGCCGGAACCAGCGGTCGGGGCCTCATCAAAACTCGCACTGTCGGAGCTATCCTTGTCCCTGTTCTTCTGCTTCTTGCGGCTGCGGCGGCCCTCCAGCGCAGCCTCGGCGCGCTCGGCCAGCGCCTCGCCCATGGAGCGCTTCCTCTGAAGCTTCTCCTTCAGCCTCTTGACGATCTTCCTCATCTCCTCGGCCGTCCTGCCATCCACGTCCTCACCGTCGGCACCGCCTGAGCCCTTGGGAGCTCCACCTGCGTTCTTGCCCGGCACCACGGGTCCAGCGTCAGCGGCGGGCGGCGCACCGCCTGCAGGGAGGGCGCCAGGCGGGGTGGCTCCAGCGCCATCAGCGGCACCGCCTCCAGGCCCGGCCGCCCCCAGCACGCGCAACGTGTCCGAGTGCACCACGTTGCGCCCTGGCCAAGCGGTCGTGCGACAGCAAGTCGCCACGCCCTGGGTGCAGAGGTGCACCACGCTGCTTCCCATCGCGAAGATGCCCTGCAGGATCGGCAGGTAGAGAGGGTCGCTGCTGCTCTCCACTGTGCACTCCACGAACTCTCCTGCCGCGTCAGGCGGATACAGCCCTGTCACGGTCATCGTCGTCGTCCCGCTTGGCTGACAGGCAGCATCGTACATCACCAGCTCGACGCGGCAGCCGGCGCTCAGTCCCAGGAGGCCGTGGGTCACGGCCTGGGGCGCCATGGGCACGTATACCCAGGGTCCAGCCTGCTGCGCCGCCGCCGCGACCCCCGCCACCGCTGGCTGGGCGAACGCTGCTCCGAACTGCGGCAGCGCCCCGCCCGCCGCGGGCATGCCTGCCTGCCAGCCCACGGGCACAGGCGCGGCGGCGGCTGGCACCGCGTGGGCGGCCTGCCCTGCCACGGCGTGGCCGCCTCCACCCCCAGCGTGAGCGGGTGGTCCCACGAGGGCTCCCACCCCGGGGATCCCTGGGATCAGACCCGGCACCACGGGGCCGCCCAGGGCTGCTGGCGCTCCTGCTCCAGCGCCAGCGCCTCTGCCGCGACCTGCAGCGGGCGGCGGGGCGGCAGGCGGCTTGCCCATGCCGCCCATTGGGCCACCCATGCCGCCCATGCCGCCCTTGCCGCCCATCCCGGGCTTCGCCGCTGCCTTGCCTCCGCCTCCTGGTGCTGCGGGGCCTGCAGCGGCTCCGCCCGCGGCCGCGGCAGCTCCAGCGGCCACTCCGGCAGGCGGCGGCGGGAGCAGGGCGCCGACGCCAGGCGGCAGTCCCAGAAAGCCGCCCAGCACTCCGCCGCCGCCCACGCCGAGGAGCCCCCCGCCAGGGCCCAACCCAAGCGGGCCAGGCGGGGCGCCCGCGCCAGCCCCCGCGGCTCCGAACATCGCCACCGCCGTGCTGCCGCCGCGGCGGCGCGGGCTGGTGAGCTCCCCCAGCCGCCGAGGGGGGAGCTCACTCGGGCGCGGGCTCCTCGGAGGGGGTCATTCTGGGGACCCCCGCTTGCTTCTCTGACAGGGCTAATAGAAGCACCTCCACCGCGCACACCCTGCCGCAGCTTGAGCCGAGGCGGCTACGGAGAGGCGGTTTAGAGGAGATCGTTTCGAGGACGGAGGGGGGACGAGATAAAACCCATGAGAATCTCAAGGATATATATATATATATATATATATATATATATCGAAGCAGGGTCGAACGAGCATCGCCTCCCAGGGCCCGGCACGCGAAAACCCTCCGAATTTCGGTGCTTGCTTGGTGCTCGAAATTCTTTCTTTCTGGGAGGGCGCTGGCTGCCCAGACCTCCTCCCCAGAGATCCGAGGATCTGATTTTTCCAATCCGGCGGTTTTCCGGGAGTTTGGCCTCGAGCCCGTGGACCACCGAATATGGATCCAGGACGAAAAAAAGCTCCTGGGGAACGAGTCGGGACCTCTGGGGGCCGCGGATTGAAAATCATATCGGCGGATGTTTGGGTCGGGTAGTGAAAAATTGCGACGGGAGGTGTGTGTGTGTGTGTGTGCCATTTTCGGACTCTGGGGGCCCTCGCCAGGCCTCGGGGCCGTCAAAAAGCAGCTCAGGATGAGAAACTGGTCCCAGGGAATGGGTCGAGACCTCGGGGGGTCGACACCGAACCGCCAGTCGAAAGAAGCACGAGGAAACATGAAGTGGGAAGGCGGACAAAGTAGGTTGGGTTCGGGCCCGCCAGAAGAAAAATAAAATGGGAACACATGTATCGATTCGTGAAGTAGGAAGGCGCTTGAAGTAGGCGGGATCCCACCCGAGCGACGAGAAGAAACAGGTCTTACGAGAGATGACAGAGCGCCCTTACGCCGCAGCTTACGCGGGCCTCCAGCGCGGTACGCTGCGCTAGAAGCGAGGGCGCTTCCGCGCTCTCACGCGGGCAGCTTACAGTCGACCCCGCTGTCTGGGGGAGCTCCTCCTCCTCCTCCTCCTCCTCCTCCTCCTCCTCCTCCTCCTCCTCCTCCTCCTCCTCCTCAGTCGGCGCTGTCTCACGTGGCTCACCTGGGAGGACGCTGGCGCGGATCCCGGCCAGGCTCCAACTGGGCCCGGGATCGGTGTGCACGCCCTCCGGGGCTCGGGCGGGAGGGCACCTGCACCGATCCGGGGCCCAGGATCGGCCTGGCCAGCGTCGGTGTGGGTGCATGGTCCCAGACGTGATCGCGTCGTTTAACCAAAAAAAAAAAAAGCAGGAGTGCCCTCGCCAGACCCCGGGACCGTCAAACAATGCTCACTCGGGATGAAAAACCGGTCCCGGGGAGAGGGCCTGGACTTGCGGGGAGGCGCCGCACCGAGCAAAAAAGTCAGGACGTCGCATGCCTGCAGGGGGTTGGCCGTGGTGCCGCCCGACCACCGGCAGGCGGGCCCCGCGGGCGCGGAGAGGGCTCCCGGGGGGGCGGGCTCTCCGAGCCCGCGCTCCCGCCCAGAGGCGTGTGCGCAGTGGACCCGCCGTCGCTCGACGGGGGCGGGGAGGCCCCCCAAAGGCCTCCCGGAGCGCCGCCGCAGCCGGCGGCTCCTCCTCGTGGCCGCCTGGGGTCCGCGGGCCCCCTGCGGGGGCCACCGGGCGTGCCCGGGCCCTTCTGCCCCGGGCAGCCCCCTGCCCCCAGAGCACTGGGTCGGGGCTCGAGCGGTCGTGGGTCGTGCCTTCACGGCAAGCTCGAGATTGCCCGAGGGGGCCACGGAACGCGCGAGGGGTGTGCCACAGTGGGCGCGGCGGTCGTGCCTTCACGGCAAGCTCGAGATTGCCCGAGAGGGCCACGAAACGTGTGAGGGGTGTGCCACAGTGGGCGCGGCGGCCGCGTGCGAGCGCTGGCGTCTGGTGCCGTCGGAGGAGCTCCCCATAGGGGCCACGAAACGTGTGAGGGGTGTGCCACAATGGGTGCTGCGACCGCGTGCGAGCGCTGGCATTGGGGCCGTCGGTGGAGCTCCCTACGGGGCCACGAAACGTGTGAGGGGAGTGCCAAAATGGGTGCGGTGACCGCATGCGAGCGCTGGCACCTGGGCCTCAGGTGTAGCTCTCTGTGGAGCCACGAAATGTGTGAGGAGTGTGCCACAATGCGGGAGGTAACGAGAGTGCCAAAATGATTTGACAGGCGGAGGGCAGAGGCATGGGTGGGAGGAAGAATGAGGAGGAGCAGGAGAAGAGAAGAGGAGAGTGGACGCGGTGATCTCTCTCAAATCGAGGACCCAACACCACAGGATGATTGGGAACAAACGTCTGAGAATCCGCAATCGTGCCAAAACACCATTCCTCTGACTTCATCGTCGCGAGTCAACGTGACTGCTGCGTCCTGGCATTCCAAAACCGTGCCAGAACACCATTCCTCCGACATAAGCACCGCGATTCAATATGATTCCTGCGTTCCGACAATCCTAAGTCTTTCCAGAACACCAGTCCTGGGACTTCAAACATGCGAACCCTTGAAACGACTGCAAACTCTCAAAACGAACGAGCACGGCGCTACGGCGAGAGCCAAATTCCGCCCTTCATCCGCGAAACTGCTGCAAATGCTTAAGACGAACGTACGCGTCGCCAAAGCGAGAACAACATTTTGAAAACGATCCGCCCTCCAACCGTGAAACCGCTGCAATATGTCAAAAAGAATAGGCGCAGCGCTAAGGCGAGAGCCACATTCTTGAAACAGCCCGCCCTACATCCGTGAAACTGATGCAAAGTTCAAGCTAGGCGAAACGCCCGGCGCGCCCTGCGGACACGTCTGGGGGTGCGACAGGGAGGAGTTATCTAGAAGTGAGAGGGATGGAGGAGGACGAGGACGAGGGCGAGGAGAAGGGGTCGCAAGGCGGAAGAAGAGGTAGCAGAACCCGTGCGCGACGAAGGCGGCAAGCTCCAGCCTCGCCGCCCACGCGTCAAGACTTCTGCCGCCCGCAGGCGGAAGGGGAAGTCGACAGTGTTTGTCCGGCCCTGCCCCCCGCGGAGCGGCGTGAACCTTCCCCTGCGCGGGGGTCGCCAGAGCCTGTCCCTGGTGCAGGGTGCCCGCCGTAACTATCTCTGGGGAGGCCGCCACGGCCTCCGGACGACCGACCCCCCACCGAGGCCCAGAGGGTCCACGGGGCCCCCCCTC